ACCAGGACGACTGATCCGTGTAAAGGAAAGAATGAATGGGGCCATGTATCGTGAGATTTTGAGTGAAAACCTCCTTCCACCAGCAAGGGCATTGAAGATGAAACGTGGCTGGGTCTTTCAGCATGACAATGATCCCAAACACACCGCCCGGGCAACAAAGGAGTGGCTTCGTAAGAAGCATTTCAAGGTCCTGGAGTGGCCTAGCCAGTCTCCAGATCTCAACCCCATAGAAAATCTTTGGAGGGAGTTGAAAGTCCGTGTTGCCCAGCGACAGCCCCAAAACATCACTGCTCTAGAGGAGATCTGCATGGAGGAATGGGCCAAAATACCAGCAACAGTGTGTGAAAACCTTGTGAAGACTTACAGAAAACGTTTGACCTGTGTCATTGCCAACAAAGGGTATATAACAAAGTATTGAGAAACTTTTGTTATTGACCAAATACTTATTTTCCACCATAATTTGTAAATAAATTCATTAAAAATCCTACAATGTGATTTTCTGGATTTATTTTCTTCTCATTTTGTCTGTCATAGTTGACGTGTACCTATGATGAAAATTACAGGCCTCTCTCATCTTTTTAAGTGGGAGAACTTGCACAATTGGTGGCTGACTAAATACTTGTTTTCCCCACTGTAATTATACACTATATATATAAAAGTATGTGGACAGCCCTTCAAATTAGTGGATTCGGCTATTTCAGCCACACGTTGCTGACAGGTGTATAAAATTGAGCACACAGCCATGCAATCTCCATAGACAAACATTGGCAGTAGAATGGCCTTACTGAAGAGCTCAGTGACTTTCAACGTGGCACTGTCATAGGATGCTACCTTTCCAACAAGTCAGTTCGTCAAATTTCTGTCCTGCTAGAGCTGCCCCGGTCAACTGTAAGTGCTGCTATTGTGAAGTGGACACATCTAGGAGCAACAACAGCTCAACCACAAAGTGGTAGGCCACACAAGCTCACAGAACTGGACCGCCGAGTGCTGAAGTGCGTGGTGCGTCTGTCCTCGGTTGCAACACTCACTACCCAGTTCCAAACTGCCTCTGGTAGCAACGTCAGCACAATAACTGTTCGTAGAGAGGTTCACGAAATGGGTTTCCATGGCCAAGCAGCCGCACACAAGCCTAAGATCACCATGCGCAATGCCTAGCGTCGGCTGGAGTGGTGTAAAGCTCGCCGCCATTGGACTCTGGAGCAGTGGAAACACGTTCTCTGGAGTGATGAATCAAGCTTCACCATCTGGCAGTCCGACGGACAAATCTGGGTTTGGCGGATGCCAGGAGAACGCTACCTGCCCGAATGAATAGTGCCAACTGTAAAGTTTGGTGGAGGATGAATAATGGTCTGGGGCTGGTTTTCATGGTTTGGGGCTAGGCCCCTTAGTTCCAGTGAAGGGAAATCTTAACGCTACAGCATAGAATGACATTCTAGACGATTCTGTGCTTCCAACATTGTGGCAACAATTTGGGGAAGACCCTTTCCTGTTTCAGCATGACAATGCCCCTGTGCACAAAGCGAGGTCCATACAGAAATGGTTTATCAAGATCGGTGTGGAAGAACATGACTGGCCTGCACAGAGCCCTGACCTCAACCCCATCGAACACCTTTGGGATTCATTGAAACACTGACTGCAAGCCAGGCCTAATCGCCCAACATCAGTGCTCGACCTCAGTAAAGCTCTTATGGCTGAATGGAAGCAAGTCCCCGCAGCAATGTTCCAACATCTAGTGGAAAGCCTTCCCAGAAGACTAGAGGCTGTTATAGCAGTAAAGGGGCAGGACCAACTCCTTATTAATGCCCATGATTTTGGAATGAGATGTTCGACGAGCAGGTGTCCACATACTTTTGTCATGTAGTGTATATGTGGGGTACAGAGACAAGGTAGTCGTTCAAAAATCATGTTAAACACTATTATTGCACTTGTGACTTGTTAAGCACATTTTCACTCTTGAATTTATTTAAGCTTGCCATAACAAAAAGGGGTTGAATACTTACAAGACATTTCAACTTTTAAGTTTAAATTATTCAGGAAAAACAATTCCACTGACATTATGGGGTATTCTGTGTGCAGGCCTGTGAATTTCTCTCCAATTTAAAATTCAGGCTGTAACAAACATTTTGAAAAAGTCAAGGGGTGTGAATTTTCTGAACAGCAGAAAGAAAAGAAAATGTGTTTCAAAGCATTTTTATTGTATATTTTTTAGAAAAACAATACAAAATTCTGCAACAGTCAGATGTTGCTTTGCGTGAACTGCAAATCAGTCACATGTTACAGTAAAGTGCTTATTTAAAATCAATGTTTGTCTGATGTAATTTCCAACATTTTCCCCATCAATATTTTGGGCTGGGAGAGAACAGTTAAAAAAAGTATTAACAACACTCAAGAAAAGCCTGAAGGCTTGAGGAGATCATAACCACATTGTAGAAAAAAAATCTACATTACCTCCCTCAAACTCAACTATTTATAAAAATGTTTAATTAAAATGTAAATGTTAAAATGCATTGCCGGTGGGCTACATTCAAATTGTGGGGAAGTGGATTATGACTGTCCAGTTGAAGGTCTCCATTTTACTTCAAAAAGGTCTCACAATGTAAGGAGGGATAGCTTGTATCCACTCTCCAAATAAAAAAGGCAGTCCAAAACTACTGCATTGGGTAAAAGTAGAAATGGTTATGACCAAGGAAACTCATACCATAATTATATCTAAGCGTACTACCCAAGTCTTTGTGCATTTCTGAGAATCCCAACCCTAACAAAATGTAGGGAGAAACATGTCCGATACAAAAGTTGAAATACTGAATTGAATAGGTATTTTCAAATCCCTAAAGTTTGCCTGACTTAGCTTAATGATTTTGTTCAGATTCTTGATAGCAAGGTAGTTCCACAAACAAAGAAGAAAGAGCTGCATACACAAATTCAAGTAAGTCTTACTATAAGACATAAAACCCCACAAAGATGCATCGGTAGAAGGTTTCTTTAAAAGATTACAATCAGTGTCCTATTATCAGCATAATGGGCCATATGACGCCAAGGGAGCCATTTTTTCCAGAGTACCACACTGCAGTGCTGGCAACACCACATGGACATTCATGAGTTTAGTAGTTTCTTACGCCTTGAATGCGCACTCGTGTAAAAAACCTCAAGTCAAAACACTTGTCATGACTTTTACCCTCTTTGGCAAATGGCTACAATGTCTTGAGACCATCACCGTAAAATAATTGTTCAATTTCAGAAAGAGCCAAACTTGTTTCCAAACAGATAGTTAAACACTTTCACATACAAAAACAGTAAAAGAAAACGCCTTCACTGGGCATTCATTTCGCTCCAGATACAAATAAAACACTTTCCCCATCTCACATCCTCTTGTTCATTCAACTAGAACTCAAGAACAAACGCTTAAAAAATAATCTTAAGAAAAACATCTGGTGTTCCACCTGAACACCACATGCAGGTCGATATAAAAAATAAAAATAAAAACCCGCTTAAAAACAGCCATAAAAATATCAGTGGCACAGTTAAACATTGATGTCGTTATCAAACATAAAATAAAGTAAACTTTTTAAAGAACTCATTAATACAGCTACATGTCCTCAGAATATATATATATATTTTGAATGCTTTTCCATTGTGTTTATTGTTTTTAAATATGGTTTTCATAGTCTCCTTCACCATGTTCTATGCAAATTTGCAACGTTATGATGCAGTTTAGAATCATTCTGAGAGGGTGTGCGTCACATTAGAGGACAACATCAGGTTACCCTCTTAACGGAAAAGCCTGATTGAAACCGGATCTCAGAAATACAATAGCTCTAAGTCACAGCGGCCAAAATGTGCTTTTTTAACCCTGCTATGCTTGACAGGTTATTATGACAGCCATGGCATACAATTACTTCACACTAACCGGCAGTCAAATTACTTAAGACGTATTAGCTGTGAACATCGAATGGTCTGATGACGACAAAACTTAGTACACAATTTGGCATGGGGAACCATATTTGCCATTTTTAATGAGAGGGTAGCATCAGGCAAACCCCATTCAAAATGTCAGAGGCGTATACTACAAAGCAGGATCAATGAGTTTGCCAGCTAACGTGCCAAAATGTTCAGATTAAAAAAAATATATATTTTTTTTAAGTTGAGCTTGAAATGGGAAGTCTCTTTAGCTAGGTTTCCATCCAATTGGCGATAGATATGTAAATATTCAAAAACATTGCATAAAAACAAATATGCATATTTTCTCACCAGAGATAGGTTTTTATCAAATTGACCTGTTGCGGATAAAATGCTGTACGTGATGACGTAGTGCTCATAAATTACTTTTGCGGATAAATTCCCATGTACCGAATAAAGAATACAAGTTACGTCAACATTTTTTGTTATATTGCTAAATGTGCCCACTGGTCTTGGCACATGTGTTCTAGCCAACAGCTCGCAGATAGAGTGCCGGTAGGATAGCCTACATGAGATTATTATGGACAAAAGAGAAAGATTTGTCAAAAAGCAGCCAAGCGTCAATCATGTTTCCAGAATAAGACCCTTGATATTTATTGGAAAGGAGCAATCAAATCACTGCGTGCACTTTCGCCACCTTGTGAAGTTATGATTCACTTATTTCATATGTAGCCTAATAAACTGCATTCTTTGATGAGTCGTAGTGGGAGGACCACACAACATATCGCATGACCAAGTTATATCAATATTTGCGCATAAAGGCATTTGCGTCACCATTTCCTCACATAATTAAATTGTACCGACAAATATCCCCCCTAGTCTATCATATTTTGTTTTAACATTTGTTAAGTTCACTGACAAATTTGCCGTTTCCATCAGGCCTGCCGTGAATTAAAAATAATAATAAAAGAGACGTACTTAAAAATAAAAAATAAACGCATAAAACGGTTGGATGGAAACATGGTTAGCAACTCAACCAAAAAACATTAAGTTTAGCTTTCTTAATGAACAAGAAAATAAAGTTACTTCTGGTTGTTCAAAGTTAGCTGGCTAACTCATTGATCCTGATTTGTAGTATACCCCTCTGGTATCAAATTAGTTACATGTGCCAAGAACTTTGAGTTGGTGCATAAAGCCTCTCTTGCAGAGGCAGGAAAAACACATTTAATTCAACCCCTATTGCATTGTAGAAATTCAGGAGGAATGAACGTTGAATGATGCATGGCCAGTGCTAGTTTGGCATAATTCATTTAATCTATTAAACTGCATTGGTAGACATTGCAGCGTAATAAGGGCTGGTTATAGATACACGTTCTCTGGTACTAGAGGCTCAAGTGCACAGCCACAAGGTTTTGTACTGTGGGCTTAAACCTTCTACAGAGTCAGTGTAGTTGAAGAGGAATTTATCCATTAAGATAAACAAAATAATCAGAAAGCTTTGAAAGTCCCAGCCAAACAATGGACTGCACCAGGAACTAACATCATTCGCGTCCAGCCTGCTCTACACTGAATCCCTCCACACGTCATCTTGGCTATTGCATAAGCATGTATGTATCTGCTGATGAGGCATTCATGCATACACAGACATACAGGCAAAGAGAACATTCTAGGTAAACTTAAGTCACAGTTGATCTAGTTATAACGTGAAAGCAGCACAACAGGTAGTACTTTGGTGTCTGAGCTTGGTTCAAATTTTCTGCCTTAGCTTGAGGCCTCCAATCCCATCGACCTCCCAGTCCCTAGCAGGCCCAGCAGCCCGTCAGCCTGGATGTGCGTGTGTATGCAGGCCCGGCTGATGTGCTTTACAAGTGCTGCTGTGGGGCAGAAGGCAGTTAGGAAACAGACAGCAGGCATGGCAGCAGTCTCCTGTTAAAGAGGGGGTCATGCCTGCAGTCAGTCAGTGTGGCTGAGGAGCTGCGGCCAGGTAGTGGCAGAGAGGCCAGGCTGAGCGGTCGTCTAGAGATCAGAATCGGTGTTGGGGGGAGGTGTCAAAGATGGTGGTTTAGGCACATGATGACGTGATGACAAGGGGGGTGAGGAGCTGGCAGAGTTCGGCGGCAGAGACGGGCTCAGTCTTCAAGAGGCTGCCCCTCTGCCTGCGCTTGGCCAGCTTTGAGTTGGATGGAGGGTAGAGGCGCATGGAGGTGGAGCTGGCTGTGATGACCAAGGGAGCCTCGTCAAGCTGCTGCTTCTCCTCCATCACTGCCTGCTCAGCCAGCTGCCGGTTCATGGCCACCGCCTTGCCAGCAAAGAACGTCAAGTCCTTGGCACTGTTTCTGATAGGGTAGGAGGAGACCAAACAAAAACATTAACAATGCAGGTGGTGACACTCCATTTTCAATAGTTGTACTTTCCTATAATGAGCTGATCAGGATACACTAGAATAAATAACATACCCCATATCCCTCAGGAACTCTGAAAGATGAACTCACCTTTGATGTAGGATGGATGTTGGCAGAGTGTCAGAGAAACCCTAAAAAAACAAAAAGCAGAGAGACCTGTTTTAACAGGTGGGTAGACAAAAACAACCCCCACCCATTCTACCCAAGAGCGAGAGAGCGCGAGACTTACCCCCTGCACCCAAGGGTGCTGCAGAACCTGGCCAGCACTCAGGCGGTTCTTGGCGTCACGAACAAGCAGTTTGGAAATCAGGTCTTTGGCACTTGAGGAGATGTGAGCCCAGTCCTTCTCAGGAAACTCATACTTCCCTTCCTGGATACTCTCGAACAACGTGTTCTGGAGAATAAATAAGCGCTTTCTTTACCATCACATAGTAAGGAACTTGAAGAAACGTATGGCTTGAATTTCACAATTGTGTGCAAGCCACAGGTGCCCTATGTAAACGTGCATCTAGGACTACTATACTACCTACTAAACAAACAGGATACCGTTTCAGGAGCGCACATGATAAACAAAAGGGAGAGAAAGCTCGAGCGAGAATCTGACGCAGCCGGAGGTGGCCTTGGTTTCCTTTCTTACCTGGCATGTGTGGCATGGTTCTCCCATATCCCAGCCACAGTCGCTGCCGCAGCGGCCCACGAAGGGCGGGTAGCCACTCAGCAGGATATAAAGGATGACCCCCAGGCTCCACAGGTCACAGCGCTTGTCATAGTTGGTGGCCTCCTCACTGAAGGCCTCCACCACCTCAGGGGCCATGTACTCTGCCGAGCCACACTGCAGGAAACAGACAGATCGCAGGGTTAGTTAGCTCTGGGCTGGGAACAGTCAACAACTCCCACCTGAGGCTACTGCTGCAGCTATATAAAATCAGAGCTGAATGTAATATGTGGGTACAACAGTGAAAAGGAAAAACAAGTCTATGCTGTCCAATATCTGTGAACAAGTTTTTGGTAAAAAAAAAGAAGAAGAAAAACTGCATTACTCTCCATTCAGCTGATGCCTCATGTGCCTGCACAGAATAATAAGCCTGTCTGAGACTCTGTTGTATGAGAGTCACATGGTAGACAGCAGCTCTGGGCTAAACTAAACTAGTACAGCAGAGGGGCTCAGGAGGAGGGGGGATTATCCACACTGATGGATTCCTTTAAGTGCCTCTGCTTTCCAAAACATCTCTGTAGAAAACATAACAAGGCATGGAGAACATAATGTGCAGTGGGCAGGGAGGTGAGGGCAGTGATGAGTGGGGCCTGTGTGACTCACACAGCCTGCTCTTAGCACTCTGCTCAAAACCCACTGTGGATCGGCTACAGGCTCAGCGTGACTGTCGGATGTAACACTAGGCCAAACACTGAGCTAAGAAAAGAGGATTGTCAGTGGGTCAGTCTAAGAAAGCCCAGCACAGTTGCATAACTCCGGCAAACAAAAACACCCAATGGTGTTTCAATACTAGCACAGCTTGGCGGGTCATGTTTCGGAGGACGCATGTCTCGACCTTCGCCTCTCCTGAGCACGTTGAGAGTTGCAGCGATGAGACGAGGTCAAAACTACCAATTGGATATCGTGAAAATGGCGTAAAGATTACAATAATCAACAAACATGATTGAGGAATCTGTGGGGTTAGATTGACCAGACCATAGAAACTAAACCCAGGTCAGCAGAGGTATCAAGGACACCCTTTAAACAATCCTGATTGGCTAGCTAGCTTTATCATGAAAGGTGCTCTAGATAACCTCTGGTAAACCAAATGTCCATAAAACCCAAACAATGAGAGAGTCTGCTGCAAATCCCATTCCTCTATCCAAGGAGAGGCTGGAGAGCAGTCTGTTTGCACACAGCTAGCCTCTATTGTGAGCCCTGGTCCAGCTGTCACCCCAGCTCCGTCCCACTGCACCCTTATGCAATGCAATTTCGCAGTGCAGGACTCAGAGCAGACAAAGCCTAGTCTGTTGGCCAGCGCGCCCCAACACAGCTGGTTGCCTTCCTCAACAACACTCCCAGATTCAGGTCAACTCCAACCCTCTCTCATGCAACACCCAAGAGAAACTGCAACACTGCCAGCTAAAACAGCATCATGGAACAAAATATATTTCTGTACACCAAGGTGCTTCAGAGGAGTAATGGGATTATGATCATCAAAAGAGTACTCATGTTTCAGAGCTCCCTTCAAAAACATGGCTAAACCCAGCAGCCAGAGATAGGCTGGCTAGACTGACTGCTCAAGGCACTGATAAGGGTGTGGGGTTGCTAAAGGGGGTAGGATGAGAGAGCTCAGTTCTACTGATACTTGTACAGCAGATTTGACTTTCTAGAGTAGATAAACATAACCCTGCTGGTGCAATACTACTGTAGACTTGCATCAGTCAATACTACTGGACTTGCATAAGGCAATAGTACTGAAGACTTGCATCAGTCTCAGCCTCAATCCATCCTGCTGTGACACAGATAGTGGTTAATCAGCGGACGTATGAGGATTTGTTGGTGAAGTCAACCTGGGACTTTCCTAACCATGTGACCAGTCAGCCCATACAGTCATCATATGACAACACAGCTGTTGTTTGAGGACAGCTTACAGAAAGAGGAGTTGGTCTTTCATCAGCGCCTCAGTTGCACAAAAGTGCCTGACAAACCTCTGACAACTCTGTGAATTCCCCTTAAGGCGCAGCACAGGCCTGTGTGTGGTCTCGTACTGCTGCACACAGCCCCATGCAGATCTGCTTTCACCACTCAGTTCTCAGGAAACCACTTGAACATGATTCTCAGAAAAGAGACCAGCTAGTCCCTGAAATTCACACCCCTCTCCACCTGAAGACTTTCAACCTCTACAAGTACAGTTAAACAAATTGCCCACGCTTGCTTTTATCAAATTCTATTTACTCAAGCACATGAAAATCTGTAAATACATTGGGGAATAACATGGCCTAAGTGCAGGCATGTGGGTAAAGGGGGAAAAACAATTTAAAAGAGGGGGAGGGAGAGAAATAAATCAGAAAATATTGTCCCTGTGATGAGGCCAAAGAAAAACAAGGGAGAGCGCTGGGTACACACGCCACTCCCCCCACTCCCCCTCCCACTGGCTCAGCCAATCAAAGCACAGTTGCTAGGTACAAGGGCAAGACTCAATTTCTATAGAACAAGCTTCAGACATGGGGCTTTTGTTTCATGAATACAAAGAGAAATGCAGGCTTGCACAAATGTGGTGAGAGAAAGTGGGTGGTGATTACAGTGCGGGAAGAGACTGGAGGGTGGGTGGCAATGCTATTTCTGTTTCTGCATGTTACAGCACAAGTGATACAAGAGGATTGTAGCAGAGGATCAGTGAAGGAAAACATTGTTTCGTTCCAATTACCGTTCCAAGGAAAATAAGGTTCTCATTCAACCACTTCCACATACCATGGCTTGGCCTCGCTGTCTGTGCAATCTGTTCCCTGTAGCCTTAATCCTACTCAAGGATATTACATCTAGTTCTTTCCACAGGAATGACAAAATACCTTTATTCAAAACAAGTCTGACCCGACCCAGGGCACTCTCAGATAAAGACCAGGCCATTGTTGAAACCAGAGGGGGATGCAGGCAAGGTGAGGGAGAGAGCAGAGACCCATGATCATAGAGGGGGAGAACACTCACGCCACCCAGTCGGCCAAATGTGCGAGTGTGACCCCCCCATCCCACCAGACTAAACACGTGAGAGCCCTGGTCCCACAACTAATCAACCAACAGGCCAGGGCAGAGCTGGCCCGCCAACAGGCTGCTAAAGCTAGGTCAGGTTACAATGCAAAATCCACCACCCCCTACATTTCTCCACATTCCCCCTCTAGCTAGCCTGGACGGGCGATCAGCTTCACCTGCTCACACCCATCTCCCTTCCTCTGACAGCTATGGGATGAGGCGCAAAGAATGGGATGGGTTTCCTTTACATTTGAACCATTCCAATAACTGTGCCATTCAGGGTTCAAAGAGTTGTGTTTGACGAAACTTGGGGTTATGATGGTTTAACCCCATGTGCCTCACTATTTCCACTGATAAGTAGCAGGATGTGGACATTAGACTTCTGGGAATTTGAGTGGAGTTGACAGGAGCAATCCAGATATCTAAGCCTAGGAGCTGCCAGATAGGAGAGCGCGCCAAGGGCGGGGTACACACACACTGCTTGAGAGTCAATCCCCAGATGACACCACCTGATCTTGTCCAATACCATACAGGCCAGCCCATTTAACTGGGGAGTGGCATTGTAAAACCACCCTGCATATTATCCACCTGCCCCATGTAAACAGCCAGCGGCAGGGCATGTGACCGATTAACCTCACTGGGGCTTTGTGCCACGTCCTATAATCACAGCACATCTGCCTTCTAGGGACGTAACAATTCACCAATACGCATCAGTCCCCGATTCAAATGTTTAAGATATGACTGCATCGGTCCGCAGACCCCAAACCGATCCAAATGTAACATGAATCAGTCAGAAAAAAAAATATTCAAACGCTACGAATCGCCGATTCAGTCAAATGATCATGGCTATACCTTCGGACTTACAATAGATGTTATTTCGATTGTTCAGGTTCCCCATCAGCAATAGTTTTGCTTTAAGCAATCAGTGTATATGGTCATTTTTAGATATACACATGTAATGTTGATAATTTCATAACAAGGAATCACTTTTGCGAGGTGCACTACATGGCCAAAGCGGGCGGAGAAAAGAAACCCAACAAAAACTTCCAAACGGTCAAAACCATTCGATTTTGAGATGCGGTGAAATCCAAAGTTGTGCGCTATATCTATTTATGCTATGTCATAGCTAATTTGTAAATATTGATACATTACTAGCTCAAACACTTAATCTGCAAAAATGACAAGTTAGTGTGTGATTGTAATTTCAGAACCAAAGTAGGGGGACAAAACATAGGCTACACTGCCCCCCCTAATTTATAGTGGTAGTGGGGTGGTAGATGCCCAGTCTCCCTTATGGCTCAGATCAGGTGCCTACAGAGTATACGCCATAGACATACATAATTTACACCCACACAGAAGTCAGCTCAGACAGATCCAGCTAATGAGCTCCATCAACAGATTTGAACTTAGAATAGAAAATGAATGCGTTTATGCAACAAATGTTACAAATCGCATCCATTCATTCTCTAATCAAACTGAAACGCACCGAATCGTTTCAAACTAAAATGTATCGTTTTAACCCATTTATTTAGATACGTATCAAATAGTCTTCAAAAGGAACGATGCAGATCCCTACTGCCTTCCATAGAATTTCTCCCATAGCATTTCCACAAGATTATTTATTCATGCAGTCAAAATGAGTCAAGGTGAACTGGACTGGCGCAACAGTGTAGTATACGGACTGACCGGAGTGAGGAGTTCTGGGGTGGAGATGGGTGAGCTGTCGCTGTTCAGCTTGATCCCACTGCCCAGGTCAAAGTCACAGATCTTCACAGGAGAGATCTACAGAGGAAGGGAGAAAGGCACGTTTTAGAGGTTACAAAAACATCCTTTCTTCTGATGCCGCTCAATAGATTTGTGACCAAAGTTCAGGGTGTAGGTTGTCGTTTATGCCTTTCATTGGGTATGATAGCACTTTAGGGGAAGGCGATTTATTGGCAATCATACTTAACTTCAGATTAGAGTGCCCTTGGGCCAGTGACTAAAGATATCAGACACCCGTCAATGGAAACTTACCTTGTCCACATGCTCACACAAGATGTTTTCTGGCTTCAGATCTCTATGTGCCATTCCTTTAAAAAAAGGAAAAGAGGCGTCATTCTGAGGCATGGTGAATTAAACAGTAGGGGTGGGGGGATTTTGGCATGTGGCAACTGACCAGCATGGGCTACTGCTAGGGATCACAGGGCGTCTATGGCTAACCTTTGACCCAACAGCCCAGGTGTGGAGGCAACACGCGAGACCATAAGCCCATTTATTATACCCAGGCGTACAGTTGGCCGAGCCTTCCAACAATCTGCTGAAACCAGATCAGATAGTTGCAATGCCCTTGTGAGACGCGCCAGCCCATCTCCAGATGCCAGCGCCCATTGCCATGCCATTCCCAGTATCCACGTTAAAACCCCATCCTCCCCCTTGGCCTGGAAGGCGTGCCCTGGGCTATGGCTCGACCCTGCTGGAGGAGGCTTACCTTTGTTATGCAGGAAATCCAGAGCGCTGGCGATGTCCTGCACCACAACGCAGGCTTCCTGCTCGCTAAAGTGTTGTCTCCTGTGGATGTGAGCCAGGACCGAACCTGCGGGTCAACAAGACTCTTATTACTCTGCTCAACCCAATTACATTGGCTTGTATAAAAAGTGCCTGTATTAAGCTACACCGACCAATTCAATATGAGACGCATGCAAGAGGAAATGGTGCATTTTACTATAGCTTTCCATTAGCGCAGCGCGCCCCCCCCCCCCCCCCCCCCCCCCCGAGACTGGGTGTGAGTGTTCAGAGCATTTAAGCATGGTTAGAAGCACTCACCTCCTCTTAGCATTTCAAACACCAAGTAAAACTTGTCTTCCTCCTCAAAGAATTCCACCAGCTCCAGGATGTTTCTGCAGTGAAGGAAACAGGACACGGTCATTATGTGGTCATACGATTACAACCATTACTAAAACAGCTGTCAGTCTGGAAATATGTATTGAATAACTGGAAAAACATCTCAGAGCATTACTCATTAAGTGCCAAGAGCATCTGGTGAAGTAAGGTGCACTGCTTTCTACTAAAAAGTGTCACAAGTCAGCCATGTGGTTGGACATATAGGCAGTAATCTTACCTGTGACCCTGGCACTGGTACAGCATCTCCACCTCCCTGAAAACGCGACTGCGGCTGTGACCTGGTCTCTTCTCAATGATCTGGAATGGAGGAGTCTGGGTTAGGGGATGGGGTTCCAAACACCATGTATGCATCATACTATACTGTGCACGGAATGGAAATAACCATGTGCCCTTAGCCCCACCTTCCAACCTTTACCACTTTAGGCACAGTTAGGATGAAGGGTTAACATACTTCTGAGGTTTGCCTAGTGCCTACCCACCCAGACAGCCAATAGGTTAAGCATCACACCTCTAAATATAGTATACGTGTGTAACCTATATTCCAATCTTCAAGGCTTGCTCCATGAAATCAAAAGGTTTCATTCCAGCCCCCACAGGCAACCAGTTCCCAGTTGCATCAACAACAGAGTGGAGACTAAATTTAGCTGTAGTACTGTTGTGGGCCGCTGCTTGGCAGCCTAGCTTGTTGCAAAGCCAAAAGAGACTGCTGACACTAAAAGCAAACGCCTCCATTTTTCCAGCTGCCCCCTCTTCTCATTGTCTGAGGGTGTACGTGACGCTCTTCCTGCTAGCTGGATTAGGGATGCCATTGAAACCCACCGGGTCAGAGCACAATGTTTATAGGATTAGAGGCCTGCGTTGTCCAAAGCTTAAGCAATATTCTAAACAGTCAGCACAAAAACCTGTTACTTTCTCCTGAACACAACCTCCAATGAGTAGCCTCCAAGTAGCAGACACTAGTATTGATTAACTAATAAATGGGAGAATTGATAGATGGCTAAATGGATAGCCAACACATGGGGGTGAGCCCCTTTTGTCCCCATGGAGGGCTGTGGGGATTTTACTGTCCTCTCAGAGACAGTCACCCAGCACCTCCAGGGGCTATAAATCCCTGCAGCCTGGCTTCAGGATGGCCCTATTGAATCATACTGCAGGTCTGTAAATAAACCCAGACATGTGAATGCCTAGACAGCCCAGGAGCACTCAGTGTGCTGGGCCCCAGGATGAAGCTAGCCAGGCAGGGAAGAAGGTAAGCAGATAGGAGACCGGCCCCTTCAGTTTGTTTTCCTGCAGCTCTGGCTTTTGTTCGGATTGCAACACTAGAGTCCCCGCCCCCCTTCCAGACATCGGGAGGGGGAGGGGTAGTTGACGAGGACATCTGGTGTGGGCGGTCTGAGCCCCTTCAGAGCCACAACTGACCTTCAGACACTGGTTCTCCCACAACCCCCGCCCCCCCCCCCATAGGACCCCTCTTTTCAGTAAACAACTCTATTACTAGAAAGATTTAACGGGAACAAATACCATTAATATACTGGATGCAAAAGTAGTCTTACAGCAGTCAAAGAATCCATACAAAATATGGAACTAACTAAATCTTACAACACTTCTGCAAAAATGAAAACCAGACCAAATTGCACAACATCTCATGGCAAAGGGAGAGAGAAAGAGGCAAGAAGCCACAGGAATCCAACGACTGTTTTTCAATCCACGCCCCATTTTGTAGAAAAAAAAACTGTGGCGCTAGAGGAACAAAAAAAAAAAGTGAACACACCAGGTCACAACCCTTACCCAGGTTTATGTTTTGGTACAGCTGCCAGCACACCTCCTGCCACTAGGAGCCTGGCTGACGAATGAGAGCAAAGAGGGGGGGGGTGTCTTATTGGCTGGCAGAGCCAGAAAAACACAGTAATGTTTCTGTGCTAGCAGTAGCTAGGTACCCAGTGCCCATAAAAACTACAACAGCAGCACAACACTGGCAGAGCCTCAGACATCAGTTAAAAATAACAAAAATGATCAATTCTGTCTTGGAATGTCCCAAACAAGGTTACAGTCCACAAATGTAGATGCCAGAGAAGACTGTGTCCAAGAGACTCATTGATATAGTGCATCTATAGGGTCTTCCATAAAAAAAAAAAACATGAAATGAATTAAGGGGCTACATTTCCAGAGCAATTCCTTCACGTGCACAATTCACAGCTTGTGGCTAATGATCAGATAACCATGTGCAGTCTTTTGCAATGTAACATTCCCATATCGATCGCAACCCAAGGCCCAGACAGCAAAGAAGTGCGATGTGAAATGATAGCAGTCACAGGCCCATGTCAGGAGTGACGCACACTTCAGACACTATCCTCTGAAGTTGGCAATATCCTGGGAGAGCCTTCAATAACCTTTCCTAGAAAAATGGTCACGTTCCCAAATTCTATACAAACCACTCAAACATTCAGGCACTCAATGATATTGGGGTTCCTTTTCAAAGAACTCGTGCAGCATGAGAAACATCTTACCTTCACAGCATATTCTTTATTGGTGATGAGGTTGATGCAGCTCTGCACTCTTGCATATGCCCCCTCTCCAAGAACCTCTGCCTGCAGCCTGTAGACATCTGGTAGGACAAATGTACAAAAAATGTAAACTGTAGAAAAAAATTGCTTGATTTTGTACTATAATCTACAGAATCTGTCCTTTACATGAGAAGAAAATTACTCACCCTCAAATCGACCAGAGAAGCTGTCAGTTGCCCTGCAACGCTTTTTCTTCTTATTTCTCTTCTTGGCATCAGGGATGTCAATAGGCTGGCTGGAGGGAATATCTACACAATCATAAAAATCTGTAAGAATAATTTAGAATTACAGGGTGCTACTTAACATAGGAAATGCTACTCATGGGCGGCGCACAATTGGCCAAGCGTCGTCCAGGGTAGGGGAGGGAATGGCCGGCAGGGATGTAGCTCAGTTGATAGAGCATGGCGTTTGCAACGCCAGGGTTGTGGGTTCGATTCCCACGGGGGGCCAGTATAAAAAAAATAAAATAATATATGTATTCACTAACTGTAAGTCGCTCTGGATAAGAGCGTCTGCTAAATGACTAAAATGTAAATGTAAATGTACTACAGAGTTTGTGTCCCAGGATGCCGATATTGACCTATTGGAGTAAGATGAGAACTTCTAGTCAAGGGTTCAGTACAAACAAATGAATACACTTACCATGTCTATTAGACGACTCAAAATTGAAGTCGGAATCAAGGAGGGATCCATTTTTTGTGAATTCATCAGTCTCAAAGGGATTTTGGCCCTAGATGAACAGAACAAATGGGTGAATTTAAACTAAAAAGTTAAGCATTGTTCAAAATTACCCACACAATTTATGATAAAATTATCAAACCATTAGCTACACTGGCCATGGCCTCATCCATTTCAATATTGAGTCAAGTTTCAAGAATTTCACAGCTGATACTGTATCCAGTGAACAATTCTGTACACTGCCCACTTGTACACAGGCTTCACATATACAATAACATCTGAACCAATATGTGATGTTGTGCCATTTAAAAACATTGTCCAAGTAGGCCAATTTAACATTTTCCCTGGGAAACTCAATTAGTCTGTCATTATCCATATCTGCATGTGTGAACTGTAAACATTGGTAGCAAGGACACACGTTTGTCACCCAAGTGTGAAGACAGATGTAGTTAAATATTGCAAGATGGAGCCTGGTCTCACTTCGTCATCTTGTAACCAATGCAATCTAATAGAAACACTCATTCACCTTGAAAGAGCTATGGAATCCAGTGACTTCGCTGATCATATTTTGCACCATTTTGCTTTGATTAAATTTGATTATGAGGGACTGATGGCGGCTGCAGCGTTTATGTAGTATCAAATTACACTCTCCCAAAACAAAATGTTTATTTTAGAGAATGAAGCAAATTATCGCTGTGCTGTCTGGTCAAGATGATGCGGCGCTTTCAACCCGACGGGAGCACTGTGGTGAAAAAGAAATGAATTGTATAAACAGACAACAATCGGGAATATTTGACAACAATAGCCTAGTTAGGCCTATATCAAGCTAGACATTAAACATTGGAAGAATGTAACTTTAAGGAGTAGCTGTAATATTACATTTCAAAATAGTTCACCCAATTCACATAACGCAACATGGCCCGTTGTCCAACCACGTTTACTGAACCCACACTGCGCTACTAGAAGCAAACACTTTGCGTGAGAACACTGCATAGCAGCATGAATTTGCAGTTAACTAATCTAGCTAGTTAGTTAATCAATCGCACCAATATCCTCAAATTAATTACCAACTGAGTCAACCGACTAAACAATCTAAGCGTAAAGCAATATGGAAATGGCATTTTAAAACAATGAATGCCAATTAAACGATTTGGCTAGCCAGATAGCTAGTTAATGCTGTCGAGCCATCGACAGAAGCATTAAATTCGATAAACTCCGAGTAAAAAGGACGTCAAGCCAAAGTAACTATCGACAAACTAGTTTTAATTTACCCCGTTTTCGTTTTTCACAGCTCCAGTGTTAAAGCCGTTGTTTGACCCACTGCTTTCATCAAAGCCGCAGAGATTGTCGAGGGGAAACCAGATCGTGAGTGTGTGGAAGGTGGAACGAAATGCATCCCGACAAGGCTTTTTAATCTCACGACTGTTTCCGCCCACTTCTCGGTTCATCCAGCCCATTCGGTTACTCGCACCCAAAACACAGCAACAGACGGTTGGTTCATCACATGGGCTGGGATTAGGAATTACGTGTGTTCTCTAGGTCTGATTCAATTTCAACCAATAGCATCTTTCCTAACGCCTTCTCATTCACCCTTCAGAAATGATCTGAAATTATTTTGTAGGTGTGCAAGCAAACACAGCCTTTCACCACATTGTGGAGATTCTGCCATGTCGCTTTCTTCTATAAAGAATGTTCAGAGTGCTAGGTTTTAGGAGAGGGGACAGAAATGGAACTGGGCGAGAGTGGATTGCTTTGTTCCCCATGAGTTCCAGTGAAGAGGCATGCTGGAATGAAGAGGATGTACACTAGTGTGTGTTAGGACACAAACAATGATCATGTTTATTCAGGTGTAGGCTTATCGTGTTCTGTCAGACATGGCGAGATATGCATTTCAACAATAGCATAAATCTAAGTATTTTTGTAGCTTAGTGGGTAAGAGCGTTGTGCCAGTAACCGAAAGGTCGCTGGTTCTAATCCCCGAGCCGACTAGGTGAAAAATCTGTCGATGTGCCCTTGAGCAAGGCACTTAACCCTAATTGCTCCTGTAAGTCGCTCTGGATAAGAGCGTCTGCTAAATGACTAAAATGTAAATGTAAATGGGAGGAGACAGGTTAAATAAGGAATTTTAAGCCTTGAGACAATTGAGACATGGATTGTGTATGTGTGCCATTCAAAGGTTGAATGGGCAAGACAAAATATGTATGTGCCTTTGAACAGGGTGTGGTAGTAGGTGCCAGGCACACCGGTTTGTGTCAAGAACTGAAACACTGCTGGTTTTGGTCCACCACCCAAAGGACATCCAGCCAACTTGACACAACTATGGGAAGCATTGGAGTCAACATGGACCAGCATCCCTATGGAACGGGGGAGGGGGGGTGCAACTCAATATTAGGAAGGTGCTCCTAATGTTTGGGATACTCAGTGTATGTGAATGCACACACACTAGTTTAGTGCAACATACATGTCATATAAATCAAATCAAATTTTATTTGTCACATACACATGTTTAGCAGATGTTATAGCGGGTGTAGCGAAATGCTTGTGCTTCTAGCTCTGACAGTGCAGTAATATCTAACAAGTAATATCTAACAATTTCACAACATATACCCTATACACACAAAACTAGTAAGGAATGGAATTTAAGAAAATATACATGGACAAGCAATGACAGAGCGGCATGGACTAAGATACAGTAGAATATTATAGAATAGAATGCAGTATATACATATGACATGAGTAGAGTAAGATTTGTAAACATGATTAAAGTGACTAGTGTTCAATTTCTTAAAGTGGCCAGTGATTTCAATAGGCAGCAGCAGCCTCTAATGTGCTAGTGATGGCTATTTAACAGTCTGATGGCCTTGAGATAGAAGCTGAGGAAAGTAAAATATTAGTAGTATAGGACCCTCCTTCATGTCTTCACACTACACATCTATGGCATGTTATCTCTTGAATCGTGACCTAGCATCGCACGTTTCAGAAATTGCTGAGGTGGTACGCTGGCAATCAATTGTCTCTCACAGCAGTGATAATGAAATAACTCTCTGAGGATTTTCAAATGAGCTACTGTATCTTCCCGTTACGCCTAAGCAACATTGACACAATGAGTAGAAGAGTGACCCCGTTTATTTTGGTAATGTGCAATGGATTGCTTTCTCACAATGTTTAAGAACGAGTTTTAGCAAGTTCTATAAAATGACCCATTACATACAGTGCCTTCAGAAAGTATTCACACCTCTTGACTTTTTCCGCATTTTGTTGTATTACAAAGTGGGATTAAAATTGATGTAATTGTCATCTTTGGTCAACAATCTACACAAAATACTCTGTAATGTCAAAGTCGAAGAAAAATTCTAACATTCATGAAAAATTTATGAAAAATACAACTTGATTAGATAAGTATTCACTCCCCTGAGACAATACATCTTAAAAACACCTTTGGCAGCGATTACAGCTGTGTCTTTTTGGATAAGTCTCTAAGAACTTTGCACACCTGGATTGTACAGTATTTGCCCGTTTTTATTTTACAATTCTTCAAGCTCTGTCAAGTTTGTTGTTGATCATTGTTAGAAAGCCATTTTCAAGTTTTGCCATAGATTTTCAAGCTGATTTAAGTCAAAACTGTAACTAGGCCACTCAGGAACATTCAATGTCATCTTGGTAAGCAACTCCAGTGTAGATTTGGCCTTGTGTTTTAGGTTACTGTCCTGTTGAAAGGTGAATTCGCCTCCCAGTGTCTGTTGGAAAGGAGACTGAACCAGGTTTTACTCTAAGATTTTGCCTGTGCTTAGCTGTATTCCGTTTGTTTTTATCCTAAAAATATTCCAGTCCTTGCCAATGACAAGCATACCCATAACTTGATACAGCCACCACCATGCTTGAAAATATGAAGAGTGGTACATTTCTTTGCCACATTTTTTTCAGTATTACTTAATAAGTGCCTTGTTGCAAACAGGATGCATGTTTTGGAATATTTTTATTATGTACAGGCTTCTTTCTTTTCACTCTGTCATTTAGGTTAGTATTGTGGAGTAACTACAATGTTGTTGATCCATCCTCATTTATCTCATATCACTCACAACCATTAAACTCTGTAACTGTTTTAAAGTCACCATCGGCCTCATGGTGATATCCTTGAGCAGTTTACATCCTCTACGGCAACTGAGTTAGGAAGGACGCCTGTATCTTTGTAGTGACTGGGTGTATTGATACACCATCCAAAGCCTAAATAATAACTTCACCATGCTCAAAGGGATATTCAGCGGCTTTTTTTTTTACACGGCTACCAATCGGTGCCCTTCTTTACAAGGCATTGAAAAACTTCCCTGGTCTTTGTGGTGGAATCTGTGCTTGAAATTCACTACTCGGTTGAGGGACCTTATAGATAATTGTATGTGTGGGGTACAGAGATGGGGTAGTCTTAAAAAATCATTTAAACCACTAATATTGAACACAGAATGAGTCCATGCAACTTATTATGTGATTTATTAAGCACATTTTTACTCCTGAACTTATTTAGACTTGCCATAACAAAGGGGTTGAATACTTATTGACTCAAGACATTTCAAATTCCACTTAGACATGATGGGGTATTGTGTGTAGATCAGTGACACAAAATCTACATTTAATCCATTTTAAATACAGGCTGTAAGACAATAAAATGTGGAAAAAGTAAAGGGGTGTGAATACTTTCTGAAGGCACTGTAGCCTATGCTGCACCCAAAATAATGTATCTGTTTATTTAATGGTTGTGCAAAATATGTTGAATTATTGCCATGACCCAAACTTTTCGGTCATGTTCTTTCTGTTGTTTACCTATTGTTACTAACTATGTGGCCATGAAACACTTGCTACTGTATGTGCTAGTTTCCTTGTAGGACTTGTTTATAAGAAGAGGAACATCTTGTGACTGTGTTTTCTCTCTCCTTTCCTCTCCCCGGGCACTCAGTGTATCTTGGCCCATATACTTGGGCCTTAAACTGCAGCAAACATTATGTAAAGGTTTGGCTGCTACTCAATAGGGCCAGGACCAAATTATGCAATCCCAGGTTAGGTTGTAAAACAAACCATGGGGCTGAGGAGGGGCACTATGGGGTAACAGTAGCAGGGGCATAGTAAAAGGCTTCAAGTGGCAGCCTCATTCCAATAACAACATCCCAGGAGGTAGTCTTTCAGAGAGGGGATATTTCTGCCTGCTCACGGATTGGCTGAGATCAGGAGGCGTGGCTGACAGGATGATAACAACAATGGATTGCATTTATACAGCACTTTTGTGTGCTACAGTCAGTTACTCATTCACCACCAGTGTGTAGCAACCACCTGCGTGATGTATGACTGACATGCATCAGAATGTGTACAATACATTAACTACAAACCTCTGCAAACTTCTTGAATGGCCAACTCCTTGAATATTTCCCCCCCTTAAGTGTGTGTACATTACTGTATTTATACTTTGGATATCGCTTTTCAAGGGGAAACTAAAACAAATAGCTGGTGGGGGTCTTTAATGTGTAGTAGCTCAAGACATCATACAGTGGGGAAAAAAAGTATTTAGTCAGCCACCAATTGTGCAAGTTCTCCCACTTAAAAAGATGAGAGAGGCCTGTAATTTTCATCATAGGTACACGTCAACTATGACAGACAAATTGAGAAAATAATTTCCAGAAAATCACATTGTAGGATTTTTAATGAATTTATTTGCAAATTATGGTGGAAAATAAGTATTTGGTCAATAACAAAATTTTCTCAATACTTTGTTATATACCCTTTGTTGGCAATGACACAGGTCAAACGTTTTCTGTAAGTCTTCACAAGGTTTTCACACACTGTTGCTGGTATTTTGGCCCATTCCTCCATGCAGATCTCTACAGCAGTGATGTTTTGGGGCTGTCGCTGGGCAACACGGACTTTCAACTCCCTCCAAAGATTTTCTATGGGGTTGAGATCTGGAGACTGGCTAGGCCACTCCAGGACCTTGAAATGCTTCTTACGAAGCCACTCCTTCGTTGCCCGGGCGGTGTGTTTGGGATCATTGTCATGCTGAAAGACCCAGCCACGTTTCATCTTCAATGCCCTTGCTGATGGAAGGAGGTTTTCACTCAAAATCTCACGATACATGGCCCCATTCATTCTTTCCTTTACACGGATCAGTCGTCCTGGTCCCTTTGCAGAAAAACAGCCCCAAAGCATGATGTTTCCACCCCCATGCTTCACAGTAGGTATGGTGTTATTTGGATGCAACTCAGCATTCTTTGTCCTCCAAACATGACGAGTTGAGTTTTTACCAAAAAGTTATATTTTGGTTTCATCTGACCATATGACATTCTCCCAATCCTCTTCTGGATCATCCAAATGCACTCTAGCAAACTTCAGACGGGCCTGGACATGTACTGGCTTAAGCAGGGGGACACGTCTGGCACTGCAGGATTTGAGTCCCTGGCGGCGTAGTGTGTTACTGATGGTAGGCTTTGTTACTTTGGTCCCAGCTCTCTGCAGGTCATTCACTAGGTCCCCCCGTGTGGTTCTGGGATTTTTGCTCACCGTTCTTGTGATCATTTTGACCCCACGGGGTGAGATCTTGCGTGGAGCCCCAGATCGAGGGAGATTATCAGTGGTCTTGTATGTCTTCCATTTCCTAATAATTGCTCCCACAGGTGATTTCTTCAAACCAAGCTGCTTACCTATTGCAGATTCAGTCTTCCCAGCCTGGTGCAGGTCTACAATTTTGTTTCTGGTGTCCTTTGACAGCTCTTTGGTCTTGGCCATAGTGGAGTTTGGAGTGTGACTGTTTGAGGTTGTGGACAGGTGTCTTATATACTGATAACAAGTTCAAACAGGTGCCATTAATACAGGTAACGAGTGGAGGACAGAGGAGCCTCTTAAAGAAGAAGTTACAGGTCTGTGAGAGCCAGAAATCTTGCTTGTTTGTAGGTGACCAAATACTTATTTTCCACCATAATTTGCAAATAAATTCATAAAAAATCCTACAATGTGATTTTCTGGATTTTTTTTCCTCAATTTGTCTGTCATAGTTGACGTGTACCTATGATGAAAATGACAGGCCTCTCTCATCTTTTTAAGTGGGAGAACTTGCACAATTGGTGGCTGACTAAATACTTTTTTCCCCCACTGTACATAACAGGTTAATTGATTTAAACAACATACTTACAGTAAGGACTAACAAGTATGTACATACATTATATAGGCCTACAACTACAGTAAGTAGGAATTAAAACCAAAACAAACTTGTTTTTTGTTTAGGGGGGTCTACACGTGTCTGTGATGTATACAAATACGTGTGTATGTATCGTAGGTGTGTGGATGTGTGCACAAATGCTTAATACTCTCCACAAGAGAGATGAGTGTGCTGCAGTTAGCAGTCCTCTTCTGTTTCATCTTGGCTGCTGGGTTTTTCCAAGGAGTCAGCGCTCAAGGTCACATGGTGAAGATTTACACACACTTGTTCTTAGAATGAGGTTCCCAGAAAAATAGAAACATGACCACCTTTAAAGGAAAGGAAAAACTACAACTTTCAAGCAAAATAAAATATTATTACAGAAATACATGTTATCCAAATACCACCTTTACACGTCCCAATGACACTTTAGTTGAGGATAAAGACATAATAGCACCAAAAGTACACATATTACTAAGTTATAGGTTCCTGAGACCACACATGATACAGCCCACCCAATACTTTCTCCAAGATATTCCCACTAAGGACATGAACAATTGCTCAAATGTGCTGTGAAATTAATATACTGTGGAGTGGGTGTATTCCTGGTCAGCTCATGTTACATAACAATGTTACATAACATATGGCATTAATTTAAATTCTCCTTATTCAAACTGAGATAATACTAACAAAGGAGATTAGTGAACAATCAGCACACTTGGATGAAACATATTCAGTTCACTTCAGGACCACAGTGTTTGGCATTTTGTATATTATTTGAAGAAGATTTCACTTAAATGTAGGACTAGTCCAGACCAACCACTCAACCAACAGACAATCTTAACTGAAAAAATTCCCTATGGTGTCCCTAAAGCTGTATTTGCATGGTACTCAGGTAGGCAAGTACATTTTCTATATGAGTTATCTTACATGTCTGGCAACTGTAGTAATTACTATGTTGGCCTAATAATATGTTCCTACACTGTAGTTATACTGTACCTGTCCTTGTACTTATCTAGTAAACATATATATATTTTTAGGGGCTTCAAATTTAAGTAGAACCACAAACTGTGAAGGAAATTGTTTAATGAGTAGCATAGGATGGTTGTTTAGCAACAAAAGCGACTCATTCGTAAATTTGGGGCAAAACAGACAGGGTTGGCTTAGATTGTTGACAATGTAAACTATATGTCATCTGCAATGTTTAGGCTATTGAAAACATGCTGTAAATACATTTGCACAATGATGAGCACTTGTTGTCTCTCAAATATATCCTTACAGTTGTTGGTTAGCTAGCTAGCGAAGTTGAGCCATATTAGCATAGACGTGACATCAGTCAAAACACCTAAAAACAAAACATGGTATCAAGAACAAGATAGAACTAGCTGAAACAAGCCACCTATGATTCCACACATAGCAGCTTCTTGTCATTGTTGCTAGTTATCTGGCCATCCAGAATCACAACAACACAAGGACTTCTGCTCCATTGAAGCGTGCACATCGTTTCCATGACGTTGTCAGCTAACCCGTCTATACAGGAGAACATATTGTAAACTGTGACTACCTAATTCTACTTGAACCCAATTTGACACTTTTGGTCCCTTTCTGTGTACATTTGAGAATATTTCATTATAAAGTCCTAAATATTAGACATCCCAAGCACTTGTTTTATTGTAATATCCTAATATGTAACGGGAATAATATCCTATTTCAATTAGAACTTAACTATAATTGAAATAAGACCATTTGAACTGACAGTCTGTGAGATAATACAGAAGACCATACATGAGGCAACTGACTTGCAAGTCATGAAACCGTTAGGGTGTGCACTCAAAGCCTAATATTTGCTGAGTCACATAATCCACCATGTCAATGATCACATTTGCATTCAAAACAGTACAAGCACATTGTCATTGCAACAACTCAGACAGAGTTGAGTAAGCTTCCGTTTGATTGGTGCTACTGAAATTCTTTAACTTGATCGCCTTGATACAGTTGAAAGTATGGTTCTTATTATACCTCAGTGGTCTAGTCTGGTCTAAAACATTCCAGTAAATAAAAAACAAGCAGATTGAGATGAGTTAAAAATACCTCCTGCCCGTCTTACACGTAGCTCCGTCTTACACGTAGCTCACGTAGCTCACACAGCGAGACCAGTCACAGGGTTGCTGTAGCGGGGAGAATGAGGGGAAATTATTCTTGTGAGTTGGCACTGAGACTACATATTCAAGCAGATGCAGAGAGAATTTTGATTAGAACCTGCTATGTACTATTGTTGACCTAGGGTAGATAGAAAAAATTATATTCCCCTCACAGCTAGTGGTTATGTACTCCTTTAACACGGCCAGTGGGTACTATTGGCACAACAGCCTGAAATAAAGGTGGTTTCCAGGTGTTGCAGCCTGGTCTCAGAGTATTTCGTATTATTCTGTACGTAAATACGAGACACATTTCGTATGGTATGTATTAATTCGTGTATGATACTGTATGTTACGAATTACAATTTGTATTATATGTTATGGATTTGCAAAACGTATGATATGTTATGAAATCTAGCTAGCTAGGTGGCTAATGTTACCTATCTGGCTAACATTAGCTAGGCTAGGGGTTAGGGTTACATTTAGGAATTAGGTTAAAGGGTTAGCTAAAAGGGTTAAGGTTAGCTAACATTCTAAGTAGTTGAAAAGTTGCTAATTAGCTAAAATGCTTAAGTTGCCGTGATGAGATTTGAACTCGCAACCTTTGGGTTGCTAGACGTTCGCGTTATACGCCCACCCATCCCGACTAAGTAACCATCTGTTTTATGTAATCATACGAAACGTAACGTATCGTATTAAATGGAGGGTCTCGGCTTTACGTAAGATTAATACAAAATGCTCTGAGACCAGATTGACAACCGGAATGGGCTTCCTACTACATATAAACTCCACAACCCAGCCATATTTATGTGTGCTCTTTATACCACCTTGTGGACTAACTTAAGACCTGCACAACTGGTTTATTATGTTGGTTGGCTTCGCTCGACAGGCTTTGTTCTCAGTTCTTTTATTGCTTTTACAAAACAATGCCATAGATTTCATAAACAAACAATATACCAGTTTGAATGTATATTCTGGAAAAATAACAATGTATGATAACACAGCATGGCTTCAAACGCTGCTCGTCTAATCAGCATCCAAACTACCCATTCTATAATTAAACATAAGACACTGAGTTTAGAGTTTAGAGTAGGAACAGAGTGCGTTTAATCTCTCCACATACTACAATCTTAGATATGTACAAACATACATATATTATTTTAAGATAAGAAGAGAACAACTAAATGACAGGAATGATTCAGCTTCAAATTAAAATAGAAAGATTTCTCTCTTAATACTGTGCTCTGATAAAATGCTCAAAACATTAAAAGGAAGAGAATGCCTTACAATGTTCCTGGTTAAACAAACCTACATGGTTAAAATAGATTACAGTACTTGTTTATAAAAAATAAAGACTCTTTTAGATTTGGTTTATGTTTCCTGTTTCATTCTTCTACATGGACGGAACTAGTCTTCAAGGGGGAATGTGTCAAGTGGTCAGTGGCGCTCCCTTAGTGGCACATCTGTGATGTCATCTCTTTCTGTAGGAGACAGGAGTGGTAGTTTAGCAACATTATCATAGCAAAAGCACACAAATGTGCTTGTAAACATCACAATTCTAGGGTGCAACACAGACATAACTTCAGGCAGCTTCCTTTACAAAAAAAGCCATGTAATGTGTAAGAAATTATATGAAAATTAAAATGTATCCTTGCCTTTATGAGTTTGTGCAATCGTTTGTTTAACAGCTCGCCTACCAACAAGATAGACAATTCAATTATTTGTATCCTCACTCACCAGTGGCTCGAGCTCCTTGTGGTCTGTGAGGTTGAACTCTGTTACAAAGTAGTAGAAGTGCTTGTAACAGGTGTTGACGTGGGCCTCTGCACCCATCTGGCTCACACGATCAAAGTGGTGGATGTAGACGTGGACGAACACACGAAACAAGCGAGACAAAATCTTCTTAGCTACCTGCATGAAGGTCTTGGGGAAGGGAGTACCTTCAAAAACCAAACAAAAGATGACAAAAGAATATGAAGATGTGTCCTCCGGGGACATGTAAAGTAAACACAAAAGTAGTCATGCTCTCAACCGTATCTGTGTTTGAATCAGTCTGTTTGTCAGATTAATTCTCAACTTTAAATATTACCTTGGGTGCAAATAAAATATATTTTGTTTTTGTGAACTACAGGATTATGCTTGTATCACTCGAAGGAGATATGTGAGCCTTTAAATGACAACACCTAGGGTAGAGGATTTATATTTTCCTTCATCCATCAAGAATAGATGAAGTTATCTGTCCATCCGTTTACACTAATCTAATAGTATTTTAGCAATGCATTTCCAGGGACATGTGCACATGCCATGCCTATTTATACCCTACTGTAGATTGTGTGACCCATTTCTAATGCCATTGCTTGGATGTTTCTACAGATAGTCAGATACCAAGTTGTGTGGTTGGAATTACGTGAAGAATGCAAGGTTAGGAATTTTTGGATCATTGTAGATGAACAGATACAGCTGTTGCACTTGGTAATGACAAAGAGAACAAGGAATTCAGCCTATCAAGATGCTCTTTTGTAACTCTGCGAAAACATTAAACCTATTTATCACAATGCAGATCCAAGCCCATGTACCTAGTTATCATTCTTTGTACATACCGACGTTGGTGGGGAAGATGTGCTCGTTGTTGATCTGTACCTCGATCCAGTCCATCAGCAGGCTCATGTACTTTGGGGCTGGAACAGCTGTGGGCTTCTTGTATTTGTGCTCGTCCTGCCAGCGGTACTCGTACTTGGGCCCTCCGGACATGACGGGGCAGGTCTGGTCGGTGCAGGAGTCACTGATGGTGCCGTAGATGAGGTTGATGCGGTTGAAGAAGTCCACCACATGCACGGCCACCCAGTCATTCAGGTCCTCTCCATGGGGCAGTGCCACTGCCTGCTTCAGGTCCAGGCCTGCATTCAGAGACGCCTGAGCCTTCTTGTGCAGCTCGAAGCGCTGTGTCCCGGGCTCAAACTTACGCTTCGGCCGGAATGTCCTGTCCTTGTTGAAGACTTGCTTCAGGGCCATGGACATTGTTGCATGTGGTAGTTTGTTTATGTCTTTTTGAATTATTTACTGGTTAGATGAAGGAGATATAACAACAGTGGAGCTGTTAAACACTGGTTTTATTTTTCTCAAAGCTGGATTTAGTCCTGAGGCTGATGAAGGGTCAAATCTGAGAGAGGGGTAGAAATAATAATTTACAGTGTCAGATTCACAGATGCCATATTGTCAAATTCAGCAGTAACATGCAGTATTCCATCTGGTGCGGCTATGCCAACAAGGCCCACAATGTATTTCTTACATTTTAAATATATGTTAAAACGATATGCATCACCATTAGTTATGTCGTTTGGTAAGAATGCATAATACTGTAAGCGTTTGTTATGTTGCAGTCAATTTCTGAGCTCCAATTAACTAATTAAAAAACAATCAATTAATAACTAATGATAAACCACTGATTAATAATCACTTAATGAAATTATTAAACCATATTTAACTACCAAACCATAAAATACACATCTACGACTGCTGTCAAAAGAGTTGTAGGTTCATGGAAGTCTGTCCTCCACATACCTTAACAGACATCAACTTAGAGAAGAATAACGCCAACCAGTTACAATGTTGCAAAAGTGAGTGTTGTTACAGAGTAGACTAGCTAGTTACCATGTTGCAGAGAGTGAGGTTATTATTAGAATGTGGTTACAATGTTGCTAAGCTACACGAGTCATTTCCTATTTTTCACATTTACTTTATGGCCTGGTTCAGCCAAGCGAGCCAGCATGGCCAACCTTGCACGACTTTATGAAGTGACCTCAGATAATAAGGCCATTTCATATATTGAAGTTACTTATAGACCTACTTATTGACAGCAGACATCAGAAGTATAAAGTGGTCGGGGGCAAAAGTGAAACAAACTAAATCTAGCTAGTTAGTACATGATGTAGCCTTGCGGTAGCCTGAGCGGTGATGCTAATGTTGCTTTCTTGAACGATGAGGGCGCGTGACGAGGCCACCAAGTTTATTCATGACGTGAGAAAAAACGACATCAATCGCACTTGTTGCTTTTCGCAAGATAAAGTTAATCATAACCTGCTCCTCAAAAGATTTCTCATTATTACATTTCACGTAAAAAAATAACGGAGTAAATTGCTACCGAGCTGACGGTGACGAAATTCGTCTCCCAACCACTTTCCCCGAACTTGGAGAGAGATACCACTTACTTGTTCCGCTTTACTGAGCCTTCCCCTTGCGATGTTCCCTTGAATAAAATAAACTTTACTAATCGTTTTCAAATGTATAACAGGAGCTACATTATAATGAATGTATAATAGTTTTGAACATAGCGCTAAGTCTATACTTTATTAGGAAACAAAAATAGGCCCCTCCCTATCCAAAAAAAACAACAACACTTCCTTTGATCAGACGTCACTGTACACGGCCGGAGGACCGTGGCGCACCTCAATGAGGCGCACACAACTCTTTATTCTAGGCCTACTGTACTGTAGTCTAATGATATGCCAACAAGTATCTTGATAATTCATACAAAGTGAATTGTTTGACATCATATTAATATAAGCAAGACTGTTGTGTCGATGATATAGCTATGGGTTTAATTGTTTCCTCATAGTATTCGATTTTAAAGTGTTGTGAAAATGTTAATCAGTTGTGGAAGTGACAAACTTTCACGAGAATTTTACTTCTTGGTAAGCGAAATTATGAAAATGTAGACCATTTCAAAACTCAAAAACGGAATTAACCCCATGTCTCTGACCTTAAAGTCTGTTTCATCATTCATTCACAAATAATTTCCACAATTACTTGATATACATACACCATATTCGGTGACATTTTTTATTTTTTTTACAAATGTATCGAGAGCTGAAGCACTTTATTTTTTATTTAACCTTTATTTAACTTAAATAGAAACAGAGTTCACACTAGACCTAATTATATTCTCAGGGAATTACACTTTCAATATGCAGTTTTACAATTCTAACACGCACCATTTTTTTTGAGTTTCTTCTAAAACATTCAAACCAACAAATGATGCAGTCCTGGGCTACAAAACAAGGCTGTTCTTATATGAATGACTTTCATTACCAACTCACATTTGCGTCAATAAGGCTTGTTTAGCTGTTGACTGTTGCTGCCTGTTTCTGAAGCTGCCAGTTTGTGCCCAGTTCATAAGAGGCTCTTTGTCTATCTTAAAGAATGCATTGTGTGGCGCGGGGACAGAGTGCATCTTGTCCCTGGACTATTTGAGAGGCTCAGCAGCGTCTGCGGTCCCCTCAGGCGGAGTTTTGTTGGATATAGAGTAATAAAAGCCTCGCATGCGCTCCTCCACCTTCACAAAGCCTGGCCGGTCCTCGTGTCTGAGAAGAGAAAGATCAGAGACTTTAGACGTAATGGATCTCATTTGGGCAGCAGTGTGGTCTAGTAGCAATACCATGTGGTGTGAAAATTAATAGGTCTCTGGTTTCTCACTTACTTGTATGTCCAGCAGTCCTTCATCAGAGCATACATTCTATCTGGACATCCAGATGGACATTCCATGCGGCTCCCACTGGCAATGAAACTGATCACCTCAGGACCTTTCATTTTCTGATCACATGTGGTAAAAAAACAGATTAAGATAATCTAGACAGCACTCAACAGCTCCTGTGTTGGAGGCTGTTATTACAGTATAAATGTTAAATATTTAGATCTTGCTGCTGCTGTACAGATAGTACCTTGTATGGTTTCCCTCCATAAGAAAAGGCTTCCCACATGGTGACACCAAAGCTCCAGACATCACTCTTGCTGGAGAATTTGTGGAAATTCATGCATTCTGGAGCATACCACTTCAGCGGCCATTTTCCTGCTGTGCGTGCCTATGTTCCCACCCACACACATGCTTACCATACCACATGAATATTGTACATATAAAGAACTGCAGTATTTAACTATATAAAACAGACCAACTTAACATTATAGCACATGACACGTGCAAGAAACTCATACCTACCTTGTAATAGTTGTCATCAGCACCCAAAGCCTTGGACAGGCCAAAGTCACTGATCTTGGCAAACTGTTGGTTGACCAGCAGGACATTGCGAGCTGCGAGGTCTCTGTGCACAAAGTTCTTCTCCTCCAGGTACTTCATTCCCATAGACACCTGGTGCATCAGCCCCACAATGTTCTCCACTGTGACCGTATCCCTGAGAGGTAGAGGGACAGAAAGGGAACTCAAATGAACCTTCAGGGGAATTCGCTCATGGTATTTAGCTTCACTTTGCTGAGCTCATCATCACTTTTTGAGTAATAGCAGTGCTATCATGAATTGCATTTCCATAACTCTCTATGATCAGTGTCACTATTAAGAGAATAACATGCTTTATGATATACTGTACTACTGTACGTGTGAAATAATTGGCCTTACTTATTGGTGGAGAGGAACTTGTTGAGTGGCCCAGCAGAAGCCATCTCCATCACTAGCATCAGGCACTCGGCCTGGCAGAGCCCCAGCATGCGGACGATGTAAGGGTTACTCAGCTGGTGCATGATCTCTGCCTCCCTCATCATCTCATCTTTCACCAGATTCTCATTCTCACTCTTCAGCACCTTGATGGCCACATCAGTGTGGCCCCTGGAACCACACAATAATTTGTGATGTGTTATGAATAAGGCCCAGTGTTTTTCTAAATTTTAGCCTCTAACTAGGGTCCAGAGTTTTTCCTGATCAGCTCACTTTCTCAGTAAAAATAATTATAAACCTCTGTGACATAAAACTTAGTTTTCAGTTGTTATAAATGGCTCTAGGCATGAGGTTATAGGTTCTAAACTCAGGCTCTGATGCTCTGTTTTGATTAATCCAAGAAGCAGCACCCCCCACCCTCCCTCACTTATTTGTCTTGAAGACTCCTTTCTTGACACAGCCAAAGTTGCCTGAGCCGAGCTCCACCTCGTCAATCATCAGCTGCTCCCTATTGATGAAGAACTTCTTCAGGTCATTGGGGTCATGGTAAGGGTTGACAAATTCACTGCAGTCCATGGGCAGCATCTGACGGTCTGTGGGGGGCGAAGTGTTGACTTCTGTGGAGCACCCCAGAGGTACTGTAAGAAAGGGCCAAACCACAGGGAAATGTCTTAAAGACAAATTCAAAGATTTTTGTATGTGTATTTTGGTGGAAAGGCTATGTGTGTCTGTTGTAATGTTATTGACCTACCTCCAGGTGGCGGTGTGTATCCATTTGTTCTGACTTGCCTCTGAAAGAAATGTACTGTATTCAATAGATCTGTGTGAATGAAGTTGGAAAGTACTGTATCTACCATGGAGAAATTAGAAAATGTTCTTGATACTCACCCCTGAGGGCACAACTGGAGACTCTGAAAATGGATTTGAAAATGTATTAAATTACATAGGGGACAGATTTTGTGAAATTATAAGAAGAATGTGATGATTGTGATTCATTTGAGAACAAAATGTTGGTTCAGTACGTTTGGCATTGTTACGGTTCACACATGGTTCCCTCAGAACTGTCACTAGCCCATCAGGCTTCATCTTCAGATACTCAACCAGCTGCAGTGTAGAAGGGAGGGAGAGTGGGGTAGCAGACTTAAACATGAGGTAGCAGACAATACATTTGAACCAATTTGTTGGAGAAGAGAGAACAGCCTACCTGCCACACAGTGTCAAATTTGGTTCCCTCTGGCATGGAGTACTTCCCTGATTTGTCATGTAGAATCTGGTAATGGTAGGCCGTTTTTCCGTACATCAAAGAAAGGGCAAAGGTGCCGGACTCTTCCCTGTCTCTGACTCTGATGAGAAAAAAAAACACTATAATAATTGTTGTGAGTGTTTTGGGACTTTTGGATGGCATTGGACTAAAATATATTAAATGACTCACAGGAACTTTCCGTCTGGCTGTGCCCTGGAATAGAGTCGCCTCTCCCCCTCCTGGCGAGGGATCTTGCCGTGGTACCAGGGCATCCTCTCATGGGCGGTGGTGGCGATCAGCTTCTCCAGCTGTGGGGCCTGGCTGATGATGGCCTGCTCCATGGCCTCCCCCTGAACACAGATAGACAGTTAGTCAACCTGAGCCTACATGGGGGGGGGGGGGGGGGCAAGGCAAACTACAGTTCACAATAGCATAGTAAAACCAACAGGGCCAGCAGACTAACAACAGTAAACCTACTCATGCCAAGGTTCTACAGGGCATCAGAGATGTTGTTGGTGTGACTTCTGGCCCTGCTGCCAATCGTTCAGCCAACCCTCACCTCCAGGTTCCATGTCTGTCGTACATACTCCCTCAGCATGTTGTCCCTAAGGTTATCAAAGACGCCTGCTCTGATGGGGTTGTCTGGGGAGCGCAGACAGGGCTTCCTCAGGGTGCACACCAGGCCATCTGAGTCCTTACTGTAGAACTCACAGAGCTCCGCTGGCCCACAGTGGGGCTTGCCACCCGCAATACAGTAGGTGCTGTTGAGTTGTTTCTCCACAGAGTAGTGATGGAAGTCCAGGTCCCACACCAGGGAGACCACGTAGCCGCCCAGGCTCCGCAGACACTGGCGCAGCAGGAACAGTCCGTCGGCCATGCCTGCCAGCTTCAGGTGCTCCTCAGCCTCCGAGCGACTGATGCTGCCGTAGAAAAAAGGCAGCTCTGCCGCAGGGTCTGTCGCCATGTCTGAGTCTCCTCAGGAAGTATGAGGGAAGACTCCTCAGTTGGAAGGGTTGGAAGGGTTGGAGATGGCTGGAGGCTCCTGATTAAAGATCTATACAGTGAGAGAGAATGGGAAATAATAATGCATGACCACTGTTTTATTATTTTCACAATATTCAAATTACCACAAGTAATGCTAACTATAGTATATGTTTTCCTGATAGTTGTTTTTCTCTAATTGAGGATGTTGATGACTTATAGTCTACAGACTTCATCGGAACCTCCATCTCAGGGACCCAGAGGAGTATCTGAGGTATTTGTGTCGTTGGGCTGTTCTGTGTGCAGTAAGTGAGATAAATAGTAGGCTATGCGTGTTTCTCTACACTGCCACAGACTGGTGTTAAGCACAGCCACAACAGGAAATGACACCCGCCCCCGTCCTCCTTCTCCAACCTCTCTTCAGTTTCTCACTCTTCCGTTGAACAGGTGCTGCTGTTACTCAAATTTTCCCTGAGCTGTTCAACACACTAGCTGCACATATCAATGAAGATTATGAAAACAGATGTCATTTTTAGACAAATGAAAATACAGAAACAAAATATTTCAGATGTAGCCCCAATCAGTATTTGTTTCAACCAATTTGTGCTTTATTCTGACTATCAGGAGAATTTAAAATAAGTGTAGACTGCAGGCTGTGTGTTTATCATGAAAGCATGTTGTGTCTGCTCTGCTGTGAGGTAGCTTTATTTGATAACAAGTGGAAAATGCCTGTTGGTGGGCAAGACACAGATGAGTATCATAACTTTTTAAACGCACACCAGACAACTATCAAGATGACATGATATTCACACACAGAAGCAGAAATAAAATGAGTTTGGTAGACAAAATAAACAGTTGAATCAGTTAACATAGTGATGTACTGAGTTTTCTATTTGCGGTTTTCATACATCTTCCTCTTTTCCGTTTCATTTGACACCCCCATTTTGGAAAATGAATGCTTTAGCAAAAAAAAAAAAATGTAATCTGTTGGTGTGAGTCATAGGTCAGGGTGGTTTTCCTTGGTTTGGTTTGTAGTTTGAATCAACTGCCAAAATCAAACTTCAGTTTATTATATGATACACAATATACTAGCAGCTCCTTATGGGAACTCTTCATCCCTATTCTTCCTGTAAAAAGTCCAAACTTATGGCCCATGGCCAATATCTGATGTATTGTTTCAGAGTTCTGAAGTCTTGTGCTTGGTGAAAGGATTCTTTGAGGTGGGGTATGTCAAAAGGGGGGTGAAGGTAAAGACTGTATCACCTGTGTCTATGTGTGTCTATGCTCGTGTCTATGCTTTTAAAAGGGTGGTGTGATTCAATCACAGTTTCCTGGACGTACAGTACCTGTGACAGTCTGTCTACATCCATGTCAGAAACACAGACACAGAGCCATAGAGAGACGCAATGTGCCACAACACACACAGACTCCACCATGGCCTGAGAGCTTCAAACCCCCACTCACCACAGTAAAGGGACAGTGGTACAAAGACATGTTGTAATGTGAAAACTGTGCCTTCAGTATGCACTTGTTGACATTTCTGAAATTCTATTGATGTGAATGGCTAAAACTGATTTGTGTTTAGTTTTATTTCCTGTCTTTTTATCCTTGTATTATATGACCTGAATCAGCTAAAAGTCAGAACGACAGAATAAAGTACTTGAGAATAGCCATAAAAGTCAGTTCCCATGCAAATGGAAAGATATTAAGCATAAAAAACAATCTGTCAGAGAAGAAGATGTATTGTCAACAAGAGAGTTGTTGACAAGGAAATGTCCACATTTTATTTTCTAGTTCCCTGAATTTATGTTTGAACACATAGACAAAACTATAAATGTCTCACCACTAGCTCAATAATCGGAGCATAAATATGCTGTTTGCTTTTGACCACCCCAATTTTCATCCCTCATGTTGCTTTCCTTCCAGCTCAGAACAGAACACCTAAATGGATATTGACTTCTGATAAGGGAATGCACTATATATTCTCTTTTAAACTATTTCTGAATGTTATACTGCTTCATAAGAAAAACAAACCAACCAAGACAAATTTCCCTAACAATATATAGAGCAACCCAGATGTTACTTTACAAAACAGAGACTGACAGTGTGATGGATATTTAACTACATCAGTACTTTTCCCAACACACTTCTACGAACATTACCCATGCTGTTAATATTCAAACGTTACATTCCAGCGAAATGGCTGTTTTCCCACAAGACATTAAGCTCACATCAAAACCAGCTGTAGGCCTATATTCTCCCCTGGTAGACCCTGCATTCTCAGTAGTGCTTTGCCCGGAGGTTGGTTGGGGTTTACAGCGGAGCCAATATAGGGCATACAGTGCCAGCAGGTTGGACGGCTGAACCGGCCGACCCTTACAGGAGTCTCAGTCCCCATCTGCAGGCTGAAGGCCATAGCTTTAAAGAGCGGAGAGATAGCAGAACTGTGTTCTGACGCACAACCTTTTCCATGCAGTTACAAGTGGCTGTGAGGTCTACAATAGAAATGCCTTGTCCATTGTAGCACAGAGGATAACATGATAGAGGGCCCTTGGTTTAGCAATAAGACATTACATTCATCAACTATAAGCAGTAAACTCAGCTTTGCTAAATTCAGTCGTTGGCTCATGGCCATGATTTGTAACAATAATAATACATATTTGTCTTGTATTTCATATGTAATCATAGTCATATAAATAATGACCCACCATGTTTTGCCATTAGAGTGGATTAAAAATATGATTAAAAAGAAACGTTATATCAGAAAGGGTATCTGTTCTATAAGTTATACTAACCAAAACATTTCTAAATCATTAGATACTCAATATCTAGCTATTTTTATGCATTGCTTTGGCTACTATGCGCTTAACAAACCTTGTCAAATCAGGAGAACATATGCTTATCAAAACGTCTAAATATATACAGTGCCTTGCAAAAGTATTCATCCCCCTTGGCGTTTTTGCTATTTTGTTGCATTACAACCTGTAATTTAAATGGATTTTTATTTGGAATTTAATGTAATGGACATACACAAAATAGTCCAAATTGGTGAAGTGAAATGAAAAAAATAATTTTAACAAAAAAAAATCTAAAAAAAAAAATAACTGAAAAATGGTGCGTGCATATGTATTCACCCCCTTTGCTATGAAGCCCCTAAATAAGATCTGGTGCAACCAATTACCTTCAGAAGTCACATAATTTGTTAAATAAAGTCCACCTGTGTGCAATCTAAGTGTCACATGATCTCAGTATATACAGTGAGGGAAAAAAGTATTTGATCCCCTGCTGATTTTTTACATTTGCCCACTGACAAAGACATGATCAGTCTATAATTTTAATGGTAGGTTTATTTGAACAGTGAGAGACAGAATAACAACAAAAAAATCCAGAAAAACGAATGTCAAAAACGTTATAAATTGATTTGCATTTTAATGAGGGAAATAAGTATTTGACCCCTCTGCAAAACATGACTTAGTACTTGGTGGCAAAACCCTTGTTGGCAATCACAGAGGTGAGACGTTTCTTGTAGTTGGCCACCAGGTTTGCACACATCTCAGGAGGGATTTTGTCCCACTCCTCTTTGCAGATCTTCTCCAAGTCATTAAGGTTTCGAGGTTGACGTTTGGCAACTCGAACCTTCAGCTCCCTCCACAGATTTTCTATGGGATTAAGGTCTGGAGACTGGCTAGGCCACTCCAGGACCTTAATGTGCTTCTTCTTGAGCCACTCCTTTGTTGCCTTGGCCGTGTGTTTTGGGTCATTGTCATGCTGGAATACCCATCCACGACCCCCTGGCTGAGGGAAGGAGGTTCTCACCCAAGATTTGACGGTACATGGCCCCGTCCATCGTCCCTTTGATGCGGTGAAGTTGTCCTGTCCGCTTAGCAGAAAAACACCCCCAAAGCATAATGTTTCCACCTCCAAGTTTGACGGTGGGGATGGCGTTCTTGGGGTCATAGGCAGCATTCCTCCTCCTCCAAACACGGCAAGTTGAGTTGATGCCAAAGAGCTCCATTTTGGTCTCATCTGACCACAACACTTTCACCCAGTTCTCCTCTGAATCATTCAGATGTTCATTGGCAAACTTCAGACGGCCCTGTATATGTGCTTTCTTGAGCAGGGGGACCTTGCAGGCGCTGCAGGATTTCAGTCCTTCACGGCGTAGTGTGTTACCAATTGTTTTCTTGGTGACTATGGTCCCAGCTGCCTTGAGATCATTGACAAGATCCTCCCGTGTAGTTCTGGGCTGATTTCTCACCGTTCTCATGACCATTGCAACTCCACGAGGTGAGATCTTGCATGGAGCCCCAGGCCGAGGGAGATTGACAGTTATTTTGTGTTTCTTCCATTTGTGAATAATCGCACCAACTGTTGTCACCTTTTCACCAAGCTGCTTGGCGATGGTCTTATAGCCCATTCCAGCCTTGTTTAGGTCTACAATCTTGTCCCTGACATCCATAGAGAGCTCTATGGTCTTGGCCATGGTGGAGAGTTTGGAATCTGATTGATTGATTGCTTCTGTGGACAGGTATCTTTTATACAGGTAACAAACTGAGATTAGGAGCACTCCCTTTAAGAGTGTGCTCCTAATCTCAGCTCGTTACCTGTATAAAAGACACCTGGGAGCCAGAAATCTTTCTGATTGAGAGGGGGTCAAATACTTATTTCCCTCATTAAAATGCAAATCAATTTATAACATTTTTGACATGTGTTTTTCTGGATTTATTTGTTGTTATTCTGTCTCTCACTGTTCAAATAAACCTACCATTAAAATTATAGACTGATAATTTATTTGTCAGTGGGCAAACGTACAAAATCAGCAGGGGATCAAATACTTTTTTCCCTCACTGTATACACCTGTTCTGAAAGGTCCCAGAGTCTGCAACACCACTAAGCAAGGGGCACCACCAAGCAAGCAGCACCATGAAGACCAAGGAGCTCTCCAAACAGGTCAGGGACAAAGTTGTGGAGAAGTACAGATCAGAGTTGGGTTATAGAAAAATATCTGAAATGTTGAACATCCCACGGAGCACCATTAAATCCATTATAAAAAAATTGAAAGAATATGGTACCACAACAAACCTGCCAAGAGAGGGCCGCCCACCAAAATTCATGGACCATGCAAGGAGGGCATTAATCAGAGAGGCAACAAAGAGACCAAAGATAACCCTGAAGGAGCTGCAAAGCTCCACAGCGGAGATTGGAGTATCTGTCCATAGGACCACTTTAAGCCGTACACTCCACAGAGCTGGGCTTTACGGAAGAAAAAAGCCATTGCTTAAAGAAAAAGAGAAGCAAACACGTTTGGTGTTCGCCAAAAGGCATGTGGGAGACTCCCCAAACATATGGAAGAAGTTACTCTGGTCAGATTAAACGAAAATTGAGCTTTTTGGCCATCAAGGAAAACGCTATGTCTGGTGCAAACCCAACACCTCTCATCACCCCGAGAACACCATCCCCACAGTGAAGCATGGTGGTGGCAGCATCATGCTGTGGGGATGTTTTTCATCGGCAGGGACTGGGAAACTGGTCAGACTTGAAGGAATGATGGATGGCGCTAAATACAGGGAAATTCTTGAGGGAAACCTGTTTCAGTCTTCCAGAGATTTGAGACTGGGACGGAGGTTTACCTTCCAGCAGGACAATGACCCTAAGAATACTGCTAAAGCAACACTTGAGTGGTTTAAGGGGAAACATTTAAATGTCTTGGAATGGCCTAGTCAAAGCCCAGACCTCAATCCAATTGAGAATCTGTGGTATGACTTAAAGATTGCTGTACACCAGCGGAACCCATCCAACTTGAAGGAGCTGGAGCAGTTTTGCCTTGAAGAATGGGAAAAAATCCCAGTGGCTAGGTGTGCTAAGCTTATAGAGACATACCCCAAGAGACTTGCAGCTGTTATTGCTGCAAAAGGTGGCTCTACAAAGTATTGATTTTGGGGTGGGGGGGGGGGTTAATAGTTATGCACGCTCAAGTTTTCTGTTTTTTTGTGTTATTTCTTGTTTGTTTCACAATAACAAATATTTTGTATCTTCAAAGTGGTAGACATGTTGCGTAAATCAAATGATACAAACCACCAAAAAATCAATTTTAATTCCAGGTTGTAAGGCAACAAAATAGGAAAAATGCCAAGGGGGGTGAATACTTTCGCAAGCCAATGCGGCAATGTTGTTTTTTATATAGTGGTGTAGGCCACTATATAACAATGTTGCTTAGTAACACATACAGTGTTTGCAGAAACAACTACAAATAGGCCTACAAACATCAGACCTATATTAAAATGGTGGGAGGTCTCTAATATGTAGTTCATTTAAAGTCTGTGGCTGAGACTGCTACCTAGAAAACAAATAATACTTAGAAATTGCTTATGTCAATGGAAAATCGAAAAGGGACTTACTGCGCATATTTTTCCTATACGTAGAATGAAATTGCCCAAGTCAGCCACACATCCTCAGGACACAGTTTAGCCAGTCTGGTTTAAACCAGGGCCCTATCCCAACAGGCAAATCAAGTTGTTTCTTATAGATTCTTATAGAACCCATTGCATTGGTTATATTGGAATGCATTATGTTCAGAATATTTCAAAGAAGTATGAAGATTGGTCTGTCGTCTAGTTGAGAATGAGTCTCTGTTAAAAACGACATAAAAATACAGCCCCTTATTTTCATACAAAGCACAGTAACCTCTTTTGTATTATTTATCTGATTACAAGTGCCAACGAGTCTCAAAATAGAATCTACAGTATAATTCAAAATAAAATTACAAGCAGTAATGACACACATAAAACACGGGTGTGTCTACTTGAAAATCTTACCCCCTTTTGGCTTTCTATTCATATACACAATGAAAGCAACTATTTATAAATATAATTACTTTTGAAGCCACAGCTAGAATGTCTTTGCCGCACCGTGGTGAACCCATTTTGCCTTTGTTACAGCACAAACTCTACTAATAGAAACATATTAACAGTTTTAAATGTGTTTAAGACACTGGTTATAAGGGAACAAGTCATAGAAAATGAACATTTCAAGAACAATCTTTTACATATATTATTTATATAAAATATTGTATTGTATACTTCAAAGTAGATTAAAGTAATGGACTTTCAACTTTATATTTTTTCCGTCTCCAAAATACAGCCTAAACAAATTCCTTGATTTGGTTAAAAGAGATTCATCCTAATTCCTCAATTGAAAATGAGTGAATAAAAAGACAGAACTGGCTTTTTAAATTAGATGCACTCACCATACACTATTTCACTGGAATGGAGTAAAGAAGTCAGAGATCTTAGTAGATTGGCCTCAGAGACAGAGAGCTGCTGAGTCTGTCCATCTGTATAGGTGACAGAGAAAATGCATCAGCACTGCTGAGTGAGGGCATGAGTGAGGGTTCAGGAAAACTATGTGGGTTGATTGATACAGCCCTGGAATCTTCACTAACCTACTTCCTCACCTCAGTTACATGAAACCCTTTCTACTATACTACCCTTTCTTTCATGAAAAGGCAGAAATAAAAAATGGCACAATTTCAATATCTACAACCATCTGACAGAGCTGACCCAGTCTTCTGTATCCACCTGTCGACCACGGCCCTCCAGCAGTGAGGCTATGATGGAGGTTTTAATGGTTAGATGGAACAGCATTCCATTTCAGATATCTCTTTGTTGGAGGCCACATGTCAAAACTGGGCTAGTGCAGGCCCTCAAAATCACCTACAGAGGGCGGTCTGGATTAACTATTCAGGTAGGCCTAACTACTATCACTAATAACAAGTCAAGTGTACGTGTAATATGCATAGGATACACATGATGTACACAGTACAATGGAAAACTTAATAAAGGAATGTCAGAAGTAGGATAATAACACTGGCACGCTGCTATTACTACTACAGTTGTCTACTAAATGCCTTCTATGCTCGCTTCAAGGCAAGCAACACTGAACCATGCATGAGAGCATAATCTGTTCCGGACGACTGTGCGATCACGCTCCCCGTAGCCAATGTCAGTAAGACCTTTAAACAGGTTAACATTCACAAGGCCACAGGGCCAGACAGATTACCAGGACGTGTACTCATAGCATGCGCTGACCAGCTGGCAAGTGTCTTCACTGACATTTTCAACCACTCCCTGACCCAATCTGTAATACCTACATGTTTCAAGCAGACCACCATAGTCCCTGTGCCCAATAATGCCAAGGTAACCTGTCTAAATGACTATCGCCCCGTAGCACTCACAACTGTAGCCATGAAATACTTTGAAAGGCTGGTCATGGCTTACATCAACACCATCATCCCAGACACCCTGGAACCACTCCAATTAACATACCGCCCCAACAGATCCAAAGATTAAGCAATTTCTATTGCATCCCTCACGGCCCTTTCCCACCTGGACAAGATGAACACTTATGTAAGACTCCTGTTCATTTACTACAGCTCAGCGTTCAACACCATGGTGCCCTCCAAGCTAGCTCATCACTAAGCTAAGAACTCTGGTACTGAACACCTCCCTCTGCAACTGGATCCTGGACTTCTTGACGGGCCGCCCACCACACTGACCCTCAACACAGGGGCCCCTCAGGGGTGCGTGCTTAGTCCCCTCCTGTACTCCCTCTTCACCCATGACTGCGTGGCCATGCACGACTCCAACACCATCATTAAGTTTGCCAACAACACGACGGTGGTAAGCCTAATCACCGATGACGACGAGACAGCCTATAGGGAGACCTATGTAGACAGCCTATCTTTTGAATTAATAAGACATGCTGCTTAACATCAGAACCCCCTAAAAACACACCACTGCGATACAAGTGACTTTTCCTAGCAGGTTAGGAGAGCATTTTCGCTAACCCTAACCATACTCCTAACCTGCTACGAAAAGTCGTAGCTGTATCGAAGAGGCGTGTTTTTAGGGAGTACCGTTTCGTTATCTGCATTGGCCGTGCAGCATTTACGGTGATACGGCCTCTGCAGAAGTCAGGGCATTCATAATTATTTCTCATCGCTGAGCAGTGCAGAGCTGTTGAGCAGAGCTGTTGTGAAGGAAGTTATCAAGGAAGTGAGTTTGTGTTTATACAGGACCTCCCGCCCCCACCTACCGTCAAACAATCATGTCAATGCGGAGCTATACGGAGCCCTCAACATTGTTAAAACATTTGGAAGGCGCACAGCGATGCGGTACAGAGCTCAATTTGGCCTCTGCGTGCCTCCGGAGGATAGGATAATTAACGTGGCAGGTTAGGAGAATTAATGTGTCAGGTTAGGATAATTAACGTGGCAGGTTAGGAGAATTAAGGGGCAGGTTAGGACAAACTTAGCAGGTTAGCGTAGCCGGTTAAGATAATTGACATGGCAGGTTAGGAGAACTAACCTAGCAGGTTAGGACAATGTGGTTAAGGTTAGGAAAAGGGTTCGTTAGGGTAGGTAAAACGTTACAAGGAAGCAGCAAGCAGTCGCTTCTAAAACGGTCTTGAGTGGCAACCAATCTGTTCAATTAGCTGTTTCGACTTCCATACACCCACTTATTTCGCAACGCCCACTTTCAGACACACTCCACACATATACTAGCGATGCATCTTTGAAATACTATTTAGTTTTTACAAACTTTTTCAACTCTGAATCAATTGGGCTTCCCAAAAAATAACATGGTCGCTGTTATAGAACGTTTATTTTGATTAGAGTCCCATCTAAGAGCCAGCTGTAAACTGCGTTATTAGGCTATTACTATTAGGGAAGTCGCATTTCTTGCCTAAACCTTTTCATCGAAATAGTATATTGTAAACGTAGTTGACCAATAAGAACAAAATGAATGTATATATATGCTGTTGCAGAAGTGTGGTTATAGTTGTGTTTAAAAACATCCCCTTCTTGGGGCCCTTCGTTTTCTGAAGCACAGTATAGGCAAAAATCTTTGGTGTAGCTCCTCTGTGCGTAGTGTTCAGACGCTGTCATTACCATTTTTACTTCCTGGTCTAGTACGCAGCAGTGAGAGCGAGCGTGCAGGCATTCACAGCGTATCTGTGGCAGTGGGACCCTGGGAGCAAGAGAGCTCCACTCACTGTACGATCATCAGCTCAATACAAACATAACTTCTCAAGGTAACTGACACGTCTTGAAGGAAAACAGGAGAAAGACACCGGAAACCCTGAGAGGCAACCATAGTGAACTTGGACAGGGAGAAGGAAAAGGTACTGGACCCTCATTTGAAACTTATTTTATGCTCATATTTCGTAAACCTAGTGTGCACTTTTGTCTATATTGTGAGAGCATAGTCGATTCCGTAAAAATGGTTGACGACTTCTTTAGAAGTCTTCCATATCGATTTTCCAGCTATTTAAAGTAATTTTGCACAACTCGTGAAAATGTGCATGGAATTATCAGGTAGAGTCAGACCATGACATTTTGTGATGGTGTTGATTTCTCAGTAAAGTAGAATCTTTTGAATTAACAACATTGTTGGGGGGTATTTCCTTGTTTAATTGCATTGAGGTTATAATGAAGAAACTGTCAAGGATCCGGACACTTTTCCCCATTTGTTAGATTCAGTTAAGTGAAATGGGGACCCGTTATTTGTAAAGCTGAACCCAGGTGGGCGGTGAGGGACCACGCTTGGCTGATTCCAGGCAGCAGCAGCAGTTAGTGTCAAGTTCTGAGGGTTTCTGCCGGGTGGGGAGCGAACAATGCTCCAGCAAGAGTTGGGCAATGAATAGGCAGAAGGGGATTCTTCAGGACATCAGCAAACTACTGCACTCTCAGTGTTTGAAGAATATTTGTGTGCTTGGGTGATGTGTATCTATCACTCTCTCTATCTCTCTCTCTCTCTCTCTCTCTCTCTCTCTGTCACACACACACCTCAAACTAATATTTGAACTAAAAACTCAAATCAAGTACCTTGAAGGAGTTGCATTGCACAGTGAACACAGTGATGTAACAGGTAGGCCTAACTGCCAAAATAATGACAACACTTGAGTAAATGAGGGATACAAAGTGTATTGAAAGTAGGTGCTTCCACACAGGTGTGATTCCTGAGTTAATTAAGCAATTAACATCCCATCATGTATTAAAAATGCTGGGCAGGCCATTATTTTGGCTACCATGGCTATGCCCCCATAGGGCACGAGTGGTCACTGAATGGTTTGATGAGCATGAAAACGATGTAAACCAAATGCCATGTCCATTTCAGTCACCAGATATCAACCCAATTTAACACTTATAGGAGATTCTGGATCGGCGCCTGAGACAGTGTTTTCCACCACCATCAACAAAACACCAATGATGGAATTTCTCAGGGAAGAATGGTGTCGCATCCCTCCAATAGAGTTCCAGAGACTTGTAGAATCTATGCCAAGGTGCATTGAAGCTGTTCTGGTTCGTGGTGGCCCAACGCTCTATTAAGACACTTTATGTTGGTGTTTTCTTTATTTTGGCAGTTACTCTGTAGCTCAGCTGGTAGAGCACGGCGCTTGTAACGCCAAGGTAGTGGGTTCGATCCCCGGGACCACCCATACGTAAAAATGTATGCACGCATGACTGTAAGTCGCTTTGGATAAAAGCGTCTGCTAAATGGCATATTATTATTATTATTATTATTATTATTATTATTATTATTAGTCCATCATGTAACTTTCCCCTTGCAGATCAGTACCCACCTCTTCCTCAACCAACAAATGTATGACACTGACACAGAAGTGACCTGTTGCTGATTAGGCTAGTGATCTCTTTTGTAACAAAACTCAAATGTTGGTATTGCTGGGTTAGTTCTAAAAACTTATGGTAAGAATCTGTCACTAAAATGATTGATGTTTTGTTTATATTGTGAATGCCCTTCATATCCAATAGTTTCACCATGATTTGTAAGTCGCTCTGGATAAGAGCGTCTGCTAAATGATGATGTAAATGTAGGGCTGGGCAGTGTTTGATCAGCATGTGAGGTCTCTCAACGGACTGAGGCGAATGGACAAGTCTGTGGTCTGTCGTTGTCTGGGTGTGTAGTATGAGAAATATGAAACTAAAGACTTAAACTGCCTCATACGTAAAAATGTATGCACACCTGACTGTAAGTCGCTTTGGATAAAAGCGTCTGCTAAATGGCATATTATTATATATTATATTATGTTCTTCTGTACACTCTCTAGAGTTGCTGACTGACTCAGCGAGCCCAAGCCAGCTCTCACAAAATATTGTCTTCGACTAGGGCTCATTTTCAGAGTGCGCATCCTTGGCTGTCTGACAAGCCTAGTTGTTTATGTTCCCACTTTTCATCTCCAGATTGTTTATTTGGGAGAAACTGAAAGAGGAATGCCTCTCCACCAAAGACAGTGTTTAGACTGAGATCCCTTCCTTTATTCTCCATATTATTTTTATCACTTCATCTGTTGTTTGTTGTGCAAGGCTTAACGTGGGGGAGTCATGTAAATGGAGCTTGCTTTTCTACGCCACTTCTGAGGGAGTGACTGCTGTCAGGGCGATACAAGTATCTAGGCCATGTGCTGCATGAGCTCCCAGCTTTCCCTTAGTGTTGATGTGTTTACATTATAGTAAAGAGGCCACACTCCCCTACTCGAATAGGACTGAAATGACAAATGAGACATCAAAAGAGTAAGTCTAATATCAGAGAGGAGTGACAGGAAGAGTAGACAATCCTAGTGGTTTCTTCAGAGGAGCACACTGAGGGTGGTGTTAGGAGCTGAGCAGGGGACTGAGCAGCGTTTCTTAGAGTGAGCCTTTACATTGAGCAAGTCATATGGGTTTGATTAGTGTGGCCTATTCTGCCTGTCTGTACAGTTCCTGGCAGGGTCACTATACATAGTCTGCAAAAACGTACTTTTCACTGCCTTCTCCAATATGTTGAAAAGCTTACGGTCCAGACTACATTATGACTTTGGCCCACCCTGAAATTGCAATTTACAATCCCCTGTCTAATGTCTCTTCTACTGTTGTCCACAAATACCTCCATGTCTTGCTTTTAAAAAGCACTCTGACCACATTGTAATTGTGCTGTATACAGCCCATTCCAATTCCTGAACTCGCCATTGCCACAATCAGGCATTCAAATTGGTCAGAGGTACTCATCTAAGGAAATGATAAAAGTGTCTGCTAAATGGAATATATTATATATATATTATAAAATGCTAACAGTACTTACAGCATTATGGTTGTATTGGTCGAATGACAAACACAACAATATATTTTTCCGAAAAGACCCGCAAAGACATATGACAAAATCACTTTCAACAAATTGTATAAATTCACAAATGACCAGATTTTTGTCATGTTTCTTAATTGAGCAATGGTTTAGTGAGTGTAGAGAGAACTTGAAGACAGTCAGTAAAGCTTTTAAGCAGCCTTGTTTAAAATCACAAAGGCAATGATAGGGGGTCCGATTATGTGGGCTTTGTTTAAATAAACAAGATGAGAAATAGTTTTAATGAAAACATTTGATATCTTGCTGCAAGTCTAATAACCCCACAATAAAATGAGACTCCAACAACAAGTAATGAAAATAAAGGAGAGTTTGGCCAAGCAGGAAATGACTGAAAAAAGCCTGGAGGGAGGGAGGGCTGTGGAGATGGAGAGGGGTTTACAGTTGCTCCACATTTAAGGGAAGTGGGAACACAAAGCCGCCTCACTGTTTTAGGACCCCATTCCGTACGGTACTGTACCGTGAACCGCTGCTCTGCTGTACTGGGACCCAGGGAAACCAGAGGCACATTAAGCCTCCATCTATCCCAGTCACCTCTCTCTGTCAGCTACGTCTGTAGATTGTATGGTAGTCAGCATTATCTGATTATGAGCAGACTATTAGTGTGAAAAGCTTCAGCTGCTCATTTTCAGATGGGCCGGGTCAGAGAGAAATAGTTTGTCTCACTTGTGCTTGAACAAATGGATCATTATTCATTAGCTAGATGAATTAATGTATGGAGTAGGAAGATACAACATGGCAAAGCTTCAGGCCAGGCGGTCTCTGGAACTGGATGTGTACAATGGTCTACAGAACTCAGAACATTCCAAAACAAAAATATTTCCTCTGAAAGCAGTCAGAGAGAGGTGAACCTTAATCCAGGCACAGAGAAAGCTTACATTTTTTCAGAAGGCGCAAAGATTCTTGTTTCTCTCACTCCCTCTCTCTCACTGTCTCTCTACACACACACACTTAGTATTTAAGCATGGCTATCCCAGCTCTCTCCCGTCTCTCTTTCAGCCCCTTGAGCTTTGTACTCCCTTTTTCATATTTGTTTTGTCAGGAGGCAACTTGTTCCCTCACTCTCGTCGCCAAATCGTTTCCCATCTGCTTCCGGTTACCTTTGCCTGCAGTTGGTTTGCCGCCAGCCATCTGGGCCAGTGTGGCTTCTTCTCTGTTCTCTGCCCAGACATACTCAGAGAATGATAGAGGCAGGGTAGGCAGTGTGGCTCGAGGGAAGGTTATCAAAGATTGGGTTTGGACCTCTCAATGACATTGCCAAAAAGGCTTAGGAACAAAAGTCACAATGTTACTGTAAATAGGACTCCTCCTCATCCAGGATTTTAACTCCTCTGTACACTTCAAAGTGTGATGGGGGATGGGACATCTTCAGCGTTGTGATGTAATAATAACCAATGTTGCTTTTTTAAAGGTAATTTTTGATCTCCCAAAAAAGCCTGATCTATGGCTAATGGCCTATTCTCGCTGTGTGTGTCTGCCTCTTCCCTGTGATGTGGCCAGGCCACATGAGGCCCACAGTGAGTGTGGAAGTAACCCGCTGCTTGTCTCAAATTGGGTAATTGTCCCCCACAGCCACTGACATAACACCCACTTCCAGCTCCTCTCAGCCTAAGCACAGCGTTTTAAAAGATCAATGCCTTCCTTTCTCTTTCCGGTGAGCAGACGACTAAAAGAGACACAGGGCCCCCAGGTCGAGACTTGCTTACCCTGGTCATCAGATTGTCAGCCAGTGTTTTCCTGTGACGGGGAATGATTGATCAGCTGAATACGCAGGGGGAGTAGGCTGTTCGTGAGGCACTGACTACAGACTAGATATATTTGTGTTGTCAGATGGGGACCATTTGGGTCAGGGGGATCTCATGCTCTCTCTCTCTCTCCCTCCCCCAATCTCCCCTCACACTAACCTGTTTCTCTTCCACAGGGAGGCCACAGTACATTATAGACTCCGCTGTTGCTGCTGCTGTACTCAGAGACAGTCTCTCCATCAGAATCTTCCTCTGACTGTGGTCCTACCAGAGAGAGAAGCAGAGAGGCTGTGTGTCCAGAGCTCTCCAGTCTGGTCTCTAGAGGTCTATCCTGCTGCTATGGCCCGTGAGTGCGCTGCGTCCCACTGGTGAGCGAGGGGCATCAGAGGGCAGAAGACATGTTGGGACAGAGGCCTGGGGACCGCACTGAAGCTTGCTGTAGTAACCATGGAAACGGTATGGAGGAACTTGGCCTGCATTGTTGTCATCATCGTCATGGTTGCCACCGAGGTCGCAGAAAGTCAGACTGCTGAAAAGTTCACCCAGTCACACGGTGAGCAGAGATCGGGCCGACTAATTTCTTCTCTTTTGTTTGACATAAATGGAAATGTTTAACTGTGTCAATGTTTGTCATGAATACACAGTTTGATTATATTGTTATTGCTGTCATATTCATTGGGGAATTGGTATTATTCCCTCTCCTGAACTGTAAAAGTGGTTCAACATTTCCAGTCACCTAAGTCCAACAGAGGTAAAGGACCAGTTCAATTAACTCTTCCATACAATGTGGAGGGCCTACTCTGAGCTGAGCAACACTCCAGGGCAGAGGCCCTGCTGAACCTGAACCCTGCTCTCACAAATCAACTCCAGAGACGGAGAGCCACGCGCCCCCCTCACCTCTCCTCAGCCAGGCCAATCCCCTTTAGGCTCGGACATAAATACCCAGAGTGTCCATGACAGAACAAGGCACTGATTGTGTATTTCTTATGCTTAACCTCTGCACCCTGTAAGTCATCTGTTTCCAATAGTCTGCCACACTACTTCCTTGAAAACCACTACAGGCCCATTCATTAATCTCCTCTGTTTAAACAATGCTCTAGAAGGACACCTTTCTAACCCAAAACTGAAACCAGCTCCATTGATGGACGGTAATCAATTTTATGAGTTTATGAGTGGTCCTCTGTAGCTCAGCTGGTAGAGCACGGCGCTTGTAACGCCAGGGTAGTGGGTTCGATCCCCGGGACCACCCATACACAAAAATGTATGCACGCATGACTGTAAGTCGCTTTGGATAAAAGCGTCTGCTAAATGGCATATTATATTATTATATTATCATATTATGAGTTATCATTTGTCACAAATATTCACTGGAAAATGCAACAAGTAGGTTAATGCTTAATTTGTTAATGCTGTGAAATTCAATCAGGACAGGCTGTTTAGTACAGTACGTCTGGTGTTATACATTTCAGCACCACTGTTAGATTCCTCCATGCTAGTCACGTCTCCTACAATGGATATTGACTCCTGGTCAAGCGTTAGTTGTTATCTAACTGAGAATGGTAACCTCTTTAAGTCATTCTAGATTAAAACCTTCAATGAAAACAGAGAATGAGAAAATGGGGGGCATGAAATCTGCTTGTATTTGCTGCAGCACTTCATGACAAGCTGCAGAGTATATTTGGCTTGTCTTTGTGTTTATTTAAAAGAAGGAGAGGACAAATATGCAGACATGGCGTAGTTGGAGAGTTGGGGTTTTTCTGAAAAAATATTTCTTTGAAATAAGCGAATAATGAGGTAGTGGCATTAAGTCATTTAGTTCAGTGTTATTAAACCATTGCATGGAGTGTATATATAACCTTTCCCTCGGACTGAGACTGAGGCTCCGCACCGCAGTCTCATAACTCAGCCAGTCAACTGTCCCAGGCAGAGGCGTGACCGACAGACATATAGACAGACAGACAGGCCGACAGACAGACAGGCCGACAGACAGACAGGGAGACATGGTGGGAGACAGACACGGCGGGAGACAGACACGGCGACAGAGAGGGAGACATAGAGGGGGGACAGACACAGGCAGACAGACAGACAGACAGGGTGACAGACAGATACACAGATATGGAGACAGACATTAAGACAGACATGGAAACAGGAAGGGAGACAGGGAGACAGGGAGCGAGAAAGACAGGCAGCCAGAGCTGAGAGCAGAGTTATGAGCAGAGGAACTGCTGACAGGGCCCTATGGTGACGGAGGCAGAGATTGACTTTTTCAGCCAGGCATGGATGAGAGAGAGAGAAGTCCCTCTCTGGGAATGCTTCAGTAAAAAGGGCCACTGTTCTCATTTCCCTCTTTTTTTTAAAGAGGCTAATTAAAGGTTCCTTTCTTCTAAAAGCTAAAATAAAGCGAACCCTAGGTAGTGCTTAATGACAGTTTATTTTACAGAAGGTGAGCGCTCTGCAGACCTTTATTCTTTTATGTGTCTCTCTCTGTTACCGGTTGGGTTTATTGGTGAGTAATGATAGTTTCCTCCTCTTCCTGGTGATTAGAGAAATGGTTCACCCTGTGGTGCTTTCCATCAGTTGTAGGTGACCTGGGAGAGGATCAGACGCCACGCGACCCTTCAGACCAGACTAGGACCTACTGTACGCTTATACTGTGTTTAGCCAACTTCACTCCCCTATTTTCCATTGTACCAGCCATATTTCCCCTTTGAAGTACCCTGCACATCTGGGCACAGTGCATTGGGAGGGGGCTGGCTGCAGAATGGTAGCCTTATGAAAGCAGTGGTAGAGCCAAGTCAGCCCACTAGCTGCCTCACTCATTAATTAGACAGGCTTATCAGGTTGCTGGACAGATTACTGCTGCGCTGCAGAGAGAGAGAGAGCCATTGCACAGAGCAGGCAGGGCACGAGGAGCAGCTGTATAGCTGTGGAACCACAGAGGGATGGAGAGAGGGAGGAGGGGAGAGTAGGGGTAGAGTACACTTTTTAAACTAGGCCTCATTAAGTCCTTCCAAATATTTGAATGGTCTACTTTATCTGACCGCTGGCCTCCGAGTCACCTCCAGTCCTCCATGAGGCTTTCCTGTGCCAGATACTTTTGCCCCTGTGAAAATACCATGAAAATACGACTTTTTATGTGGATCAATTGTCTGAAATGTTGTAGGAGAGGAATTCAAAGCTCCTATAACTGACTGTTGCAGAATGTGCTGAAGGATGTGAAATGGAGTTGGGAGGGGGCTGGGGGGCTGTAATGGTGCTTGCTGTTTATTTAAGCTGGCCTGGCCACATAAACAGAGGCTGGGTCTGGACTCACGGTACAGACACTAATCCCTGCCTGTTTACTCTGTGGGGAGGGCTGTTTCTCCACAAAACAAGGCAAAAGGCCTTGATGAAAACTGGGCTCATTTCTGTTGACCTTTCCCCTGTTAGTGCAGTGTTTGGAGCGCCATGTTTGGACAATAAATCTCCGGGCCCGCAGCCAGAGACAGGAAGTATAGGATTTCAGGGTTGCCATGGAGACAGCCTTGGGAGGGATAGCGTGGACTGAGAAGTCCTCAAGAATCCCACTAGTCACTACTGACTCTGGCCTGTCCTCATGAGCTTTAAAGCCATGATGATAATGCACATACTGTATATTCAACCAAAGTTTATTTGTAATGTCAGTGTTTGTGCTCTGTCTCCTCTCTCTGTCTCTCTCCAGCTACGTTCCTGTCCAGCCTGGGCCAGTATGAGATTGCCATCCCGGTTCGCGTGGGGCCGCAGGGCGAGACCCTGGACACAGACGATGGGGGTGCAGACAGCCCCAACCACCATCGGCGGAGCCGCCGCAGTGCTGAGGACCAGCAACAGGACCTGTCCCAGCTGTACTACCAGCTCTCTACCCCCACAACCAACTTTCTTCTCAACCTGACCCTGCAGGGGGGCCTGCTGTCCCGTCAGTTCCGTGTGGAGTACTGGAGGAGGGGACGTCTGGCCTGGAGCCACCCTTACGCCCTTCAGTGTCTCTATGTAGGCCACCTGCAAGATCAGCCCCACTCTAGCAAGGTGGCTCTCAGCAACTGTAATGGCCTGGTAAGAATTTGTTGTCCTTGGCCTCAAGGGACCCAGGGCTAATGGAGCTCCAGTGGAATCCTCTCCCTCTCAGTGTAACATTATGATTCTGTGTACTAGGATAGCTCTGACCCTGGATCCTGGACTAGACCAGGGCACCTGTCTGGACCACATGCTATTCTGGAGCAGTAATGCACCTGTGTAAACAAGGGATTACCAAAGCCCATTGTTATCACCAGACTTCCCCTGCTGGTCACAACTCATAACGTCACTAAGGCATGTTCACAGCTGGACGTCCAGACCATTCAGTAGCCAGCTATCACCTCCGCCCACGGCAGACCCTTTTGAAATAATGAAATCAGTCAAATGACACAATTCCAATGAAATTGACACATGAAAGCATTCTCCTTATCCATCTATTATTGTGATCCCTTTACAGCTAATAAATAATTGGGCCCAAAATAACAGGGGTAAATACAACCAAGGATTAAATCTGCTCACAAAGTGTTAATAAGCCCCACACATAATTACTTGTGGTCAGACTAGCATAACTTAATTCAGCAGGGAATCCGCTGTGTGTCCACGAGAGCATCACTAAACACATTAGAGGATTAGGTACACTCTGAAAGTGCGCTGCTATTGTAGCGACTAGAGAGGGCCAGGGGGGAAACACTCACTTTGACCTCAGAGGCTGCAGTCAAGATATCTAATCAGGGGAAGTGTTAGTGTCTCTCTGTCTCCTCTCTGTGGAAAGACAGATAGGATCACTCTCCCTATGTATCTGACCTACAGAAAAGTCTGGGAGAGAGGTGAGGGCCTGTATTTGTTTAGGCCCAGGCTGATGAGAGACTGATATGATTATCATTCCAGGCCAGGGATAGTTATGTACTGTACTGTATCCACTGAGGGGAGGTGAGATATTAGAGACTGGCTGTAGACAGACGGAGACCTCCAGTAATGCTACTGTAATGGGCCTGTCAGGCAGCCGAGATACTGACAGGCAGCCGAGATACTGACAGGCAGCAGAGATTGGGACTTCTGTACATGTCAGTTCTTGTCCCGTCACCACCAGCCTTCAGAGGGCCCCTGGCTCACCTCTGCTTCCCTGACTTTTCCAGCAGGGGGTGATCGTGGCGGGGGGTGAGGAGTACATCATCGAGCCTCTGACCCCGGCCGAAAACCTCACGAGGGGGGAGAGCCGCCCCCATGTGGTTTACAAGAGGTCATCTCTTCGCCACCAGTACATGGACCAGTCCTGTGGGGTCATCGGTAGGTAGAGCTGTCTGGGTACTGGGTACAACATGCCCATTTAAACGCTCATGTTTCACAGGTTACGATTGGATCAGCAAACAGTTGTTTATGATATCTGCTGTACAAGCAGTCTCAGTTTACAGGACATAATAACCTTGTTTTAATACATGTACATTAATGCCACTCTTCTCATCAGTCAAAATGTTGTGGAGTGGCTCTTATCAGGTAGTGTACCCTCTCCTCTCTCAGTACCATTAACCGCTCTTTGTGACTGTTCTTCAGATGAGAAGCCAGGTAAAGGCATGTCCTGGTGGCAGAGGACTCTGAAGACCCCTCCCAACCCCATCGGCCGAGGCCAGCTGCCCCTGAAGAGGTCTGTGAGCAGAGAGCGCTACGTAGAAACACTGGTGGTGGCCGACAAGATGATGGTGGGGTACCACGGCCGCCGGGACATCGAACAGTACGTCCTGGCTGTCATGAATATTGTAAGTTTCACATCGAGTCAGATCACTACAACTGGCAGGGTGGAAAACTCTGAAAATACTTGAAAAAGCCCCATAATCTCCTTTTGTCCTATCCACTTTGTCTGTGTTTAGGATTGAGTCTAGGATTGTTGTTACTGTATTGAATGGTTCTTCTGTCATCTCCTACAGATAGTGTAATAGTATTCTTTCACAGGATATCACTTCACACCCTGTTGATCAGATGGCTAAGCACACACTCATGTCTGCAATGTATTTAATGAATGGTTGGCCTCATTTTACTGTTCCACACCAGGTTGCATCCATCCTGTCACAAAATCCCAAACAGAAGAAACTAAACTACAGGAGTGTACTGTAAAGTAACCCAAATTACACACGTTTCTAGGTTGTAAGTGGTAGTGATGAATGATGTGTCAGCTCTTTTTAAGACTGGTCTTTTCTTGTTTCCCTGGAGGTCAGGTTGCCAAACTGTTCCAGGATTCTAGCCTGGGGAACGCAGTGAACATCGTGGTGACCCGCCTCATCCTGCTCATGGAGGACCAGGTATTCTCTTCTAGACCCATTCTGGAAAAATCTCTGCCTTTCAATGGACTCAATGGAGTCTACATCCATCCACCCTGCCTCCTCTGCATCTCACTCCTAGTCCAGTCCAGCCTAGTTTCCAGGCCAGCATCTATGAGCTCCTTGTTTGTGTCCAATTATTGGCTTAAGTGTTCTTCCTCCTATGCTCCCAGCGGAGACTGTCTTGTAAGTGGAGCCGTTTGCGGTGGTAGAGAGAGAGCGACCTGCCAGGCGGCCCAGCCATGACTGCACTTGTTGTTGCTGGTGACCTCTCGGGCCATTGCTATGACGTACATTAGTGCCCTAGAAAAGTGCATATCAAAATAAAAAGCTAAATATGAAGGCAGGCATCACTGTGGCCTAGTGTTCTGTCCACCTGCTGCCTGGTGATTGACATGAATGTCACGTCATGTTCTTGGTCCCTGTCCAATCCACCAGGCCATGGCACTGTGCTATTAACGGCATGCGGTCAGACTGAGTGCCAGGACAGGGTTACACTCTCTGGCGTAATGTGGACATTATAAGCTTCAGAGGGTATTATAAGGGGACTAGTGGGTTTGCAGTGAAGGTACTGTGGCAGTGTAATAACCCTTTTTCACTCACAGCTCCTGTCATCCTGTATACGCCCGGGTTGAAATTTATAGATTTTGTCATTGATAAGCGCCTTAATTGGAACGCAGTGGCTGTACAGTACCATGCTATACATGACATCAGAGTTTCTCCACTTCACAGCGCTGTATGGGTTTTCACTGACAGCCGTTATAAACTTGAGCACCGTGCGCAACAAGAAGATTCCCCCATCCCTTCCACTAATTGGGCTACTTTTTGCACATTTTGTTGTTGTCTGAGTGAGGGAAATGCTGTAAATCGAGAGGAGTCGATGTGTTCTGAAAGATGAGACTTTGAGGATTGTAATAAATACAGCTTTGATGTCATACAAGCAAACCACACACCCATGAGTCCAAATGTGCACTTCACATTTCCATATTTGAAAACTCATGTCATTTACAGTATCAATGTTTACGATCGCTATGTTTGATCCACAGTTACAAGGATGACATGCGTTATACCCGGGGTCGTCCTGAACAGAATGAGCCTATGTTTGTCGTATTGTGAAGAAAATTTGAGGCGGAACACGCACATGAATGCACTCCTGTCTCCATTCTAAACCACTCTATGTCTGAAGTGCCTTTTGAAAGCCTAGCACTGTAAGATCGTATTCTATTACTTAGATAACCATGTTAGCAATATAATACGCTTTCAAATGATGCCCACCTGACCCATACTGCGATTTTAAAGTGTAATGAACATTTTTGGATTGTGTAAACAACAACAGTAATTGTGTGATGGTGGGAATGCAGGTATGTGTTCCAAACAAAAAACTATAAGTGTGCTTGCTTCAGTTTCTCAATAGTAAAGCTAGGAGAGTTAAAAAATGCACCTTAAAGTGGAAGGCTCTTTCCTTGAGCCATAAAAATGCAATGAAATTACTTAGGAGCTGTGCACAGTTTGGAGAGGTGTGTCCACTTGGAGACACCATTGAGACCTCACTCAAACCCTTGTAGTCTTTTTTTTACCTACTACAAAATGTATATAAATATTCTTATTATGTTACTGAATGTATCCAGAGTATTTTCAGATTTCGTAATTGACAAATGCTGTGAAAAGTACAGTAAATGTAAAATGCACATCAAATCAACAGTGTAATGTTTGGATTCAGTCTTGTGTCAGGTTAACTGTTGTGTCCTCAGCTTTTGGTCTGATAATTTCACCATCATCTCCAAAGTGTTCTTTCAATTGCTACCATTGTCATGCATATGATTTTTATACTTCTTCTGTAAGAAACATTTCAGTTTGGCCCTATCCATATAGACCATTTCCACGAGTGTAAAGGGTTAGCAACCTGTATGATTCATACCAGACAGCTGAAAATAAGCTCCTGAAATTTGCCCCGGGCGTATGTCATCTGACAAATAAATAAATGTTATGATCATTAGCAGTAGTATTAGTATTATTCTTGCCGTTTTAGTCTGTTGTGGTTGGGCTCAGACCAAAAGTAGTCTCCCAGAGCAGAGATTCTGCTGGTTCCAGCTGAAAACTGCCCCTGGAAAACAAAACAGGCCAGCCAGCCCACTGAGCCCAGAGATGGATTGTGGGATGTGACAATTACTAGTTATGTCACCACCATGTGCATTCCTGTGTTACCAGCCTTACCCAGCTGTAGCTAGGAGAGTATTCCCTCACCCCTGCCAGGGTGGCTAATGGCAGAGGGAGAGCAAAGCAGTAGACGCTCCTGTCCTTATCAGTCCAGTTCAATAGCCCCTTGGCAGAGGCTCATTCCACAGCTATGGTTATACTGATAAATTCTGTTTATGTAGGGAAAAGGAATTATTGGACCACACAGGGAATGTCTGTCTCATTACTCCCGTTGGCTTCTAAATGATTGTCGGTGGTGGCAGATCTATGAAAACCTAAAAGTGATTTATACAGTCATTTGATTATTTCACTGTACTCTGTTCCTTAATATGTTGATTTCAGTTTGTATTCTGTCTCTGTCAGCCGACTCTAGAGATCAACCACCATGCAGGGAAGTCCCTGGACAGCTTCTGTAAGTGGCAGAAATCCATCCAGAACCGGAATGGCAATGGGAACGCCATCCCAGACAACGGCATTGCTCACCATGACACTGCCGTGCTCATCACCAGGTCAGCACTCATAGCACCAGAACATTCTTAGTGATTCAGTGTTCACAACTCGGACTTTCGCGTCAATCATTAATTGACGCCAATCTGAAACTTTTGTGAACAATCGAGATAAGTGCACAGATCTCAAGACCGAATACTGCTCTTAGTACTGAAAGGCACCCGCTAGCATTGTCAATGCACATAATGAAACCTCTCTAGCCTAATTCCTTAATGATCCACCACTGAGTCTATTGGACAAACAGAATATATTATGCTCAAATTCTTATTTGGATTACGGTTTTAGTAAGAACTTACTCCATATTCTGCCCTCGAGATGCCTCTGAGTTCACAGGCTCCTTCCTTACCTCATGGCCTGTCATTTTCGGCAAATGTGCGTTAGTGTCTGGTCCTGTCTGGAGTGATGAAACCTAGGCAGTTATACTCAACTGAGCATCTGGAGAGAGAGCGCTGTAGAGCGAGAGAGGTAGAGAGAGGGAAGGAATCAGAGCACAGCTGCCTTGAATCTGACAGCCTTGAGCCGGGCCAAGGAAGCAAAGTGCAGTTTCAGAAATAGTGAGGCACTATTTAGGGGGGAAACGGCAACAGCAGTGGAAACACAATACTGCAGAGAGATACAACAGAGCACCATTCACTGAAAAACACTCCTCTGCCCATGCTTGGCTCCTGTTCCTAGTAGCTTGGAGTATCTTGGGATGTTTGGTCTGTGAGAACATGTTCTTTATATGAAGACTTTTATCAAAGAGGGATGGAAAATTAAGTAACCATCATTTTATTTCCTGCCATTGTTCAGACCGTATCAGTTACTTATCAGGTCTGTTATGTGTCCATAGGGCTTAGTGTCGCTGAGAGAGAGAGGGGGGAGGGAGAAAGCGACAGCGAGCGAGAGGAGAGAAATAGTGTATGTGTGAGAGTCTTTGTGTGTGTGATTACATGTGTGAGTGCTTTTTGCTGAATGTATGTTTTAGTGTAAGTGTGTGTCAGGGTGTGGACGCACCGACTGCCAGAGTATTCATTTTAGTAAATTATTTATTTCCCTTCCTGTTCCTAGGTACGACATCTGCATCTACAAGAACAAGCCATGTGGAACCCTAGGTAGGACCTCTGGTTAAACCTGGAAGCCCAGCCCAGGAGAGGGCTAACCCTGGGCATACACACTGCACACACACACTGCACACACACAGGCCGCTTGTTGGGAAGCACTGAGCTTCAGTGTCAGACTATATATAATCTAAAGAGCCAGGGGAGGGGATGTGACTCAGGAAACTGCCCTCATTTTCACTATTAAGTACCTACCTATCGTATCTCTGCTGCAGCTGACTGACCATCATGACTGACTAGCACAGTCTTAGAGTGACACATAGATGCAGAATTGTAGGTTTTAGTTAAGTTTGTAATGCATGTAACTGTATGTATTTTTACTTGCATCACCTCTGTATGTGCTTCAGCATGCATGAATTGGAACGGACATTTCTGGCTATGTTAGAGACAGTATTGTGTGTGTCTCTGTCCCAGGTCTAGCTCCAGTGGGGGGGATGTGTGAGCCAGAGAGGAGCTGTAGCATCAACGAGGATATCGGCCTGGCCACAGCCTTCACCATCGCCCACGAGATAGGACATACGTAAGGCGCTCACCCACGTCACCTATATCACCCTCATATCCCTCACCACTGGGGCCCTGAGTTGTTCCTGACCAGGGAAACAATCGGGGCCCCAGTAACAGTTACAGCCTTCATCACCTTTGACACACCCTTTGGTCTTTAGGCTCGGCTTCTGTTTTATGGACCTACGCTGTTTCAATAAACCACTCTTTCATTGGTGTTACCTGTGACCCCTCATAGGAAACCCCTGTCCTGGCTTCTGCACCTGCCTCTGCCCCTTGCCCCCAACCTGCCCATAACCCCCACCCCTGCGCTGACCTGGGCTAAACTGGCCCAGCCTCAGCGTGAGATTGCTGTTAGATTAGAGCTGTACCAGAGGGAGAACTTACGTAATTACCTCCATGAGTAATTTCCATCAATACACAACTTGTTAATAGCTTAATATTTTTCTTTGTCATATTTATACGCAAGTGGAAAAAGTTACGAGTGTGGCTGGTACACTATATCATTCTGGGCCTACCTCAATGCCTGGCAATAGGCATGTCTTTTGTACCTTCCCTTCAAGACACTTAGTTTTACTTGCTGGCATACCAGCCGATCTTACTCATGCATACATATTTATCTAGGCGTATGCCTGAGTAATATCGGACATGCTCCACTGGACATGCTTGTCATTTCCAAACCTCTTCATTCCCTGCCATGAAAGAGGATTCTGTTAGATTTGCGCTGATATTTTCCTTTCAAAAGCCATTACTTGGTATCATTTTAGAAAATCCACTATTTTTGCTAAGTAATTGAGTGTGCCATTTACCTACGTGTGGACACAGGCCTCTGAGGTATTTTCACAGGTGGCAAACCCATTGGTGCTCCCCCCTAATGGCTAGTCCAGGTACCTTTGAACTGGATGGGGTGCTTGTACCCTGGGGCTGTCTAGACGGTGGGCCTTGTCTTTTACAGTGCCTATGGAAGTGTGTATCAGACAGAGAGAGCAGAGCACAGAGACACTTTGCTGTCTGTTAAATCTGCACAGACCCAGTTCCGCGCTCATGGTGTTAATGAGGTTAACAGGGAGAGGATGTTTGATACCATCACCAATACCCCAATACCTTTTTCACACATGCTCAGTCACCCAGGAGATATATCAATGCAGTACCATCTGGTTCTCCCTGCAGGTTTGGGATGAACCATGACGGAGTGGGCAACGCCTGTGGCTCCCGCAGTCAGGAGACAGCCAAGCTGATGGCTGCACACATCACCATGAAGACCAACCCCTTCGTCTGGTCTGCCTGCAGCCGAGACTACATCACCAACTTCCTAGAGTGAGTCTGAGACTCACCTCCAATGCATAGGATATTAAAGGGAGTTGCAGGGCTTGTTATGTGTGGACAGTGGGATAGAGTAACTAGCTAGGTACATTGTGGGTGAGGTCCATGTTTGTTGGGCCTGTATTCATTGTCTTCTCCTGTTTGTGTCTGCAGCTCAGGTATGGGCTCATGCCTCAACAACGTCCCCCCGAAGCAGGAGTTTGTGTACCCAACCACGGCCCCTGGCCAGGCCTACGATGCAGACGAGCAGTGCCGCTTCCAGTATGGAGTGAAGTCTCGGCAGTGTAAATACGGGGTACCTACTCACCTTCCTCCTCTAACTCGCTTGATAAGGCTGTATGGTCATTTGTAGCTGACAGATACATTCAGTACTGTATGTGTGACCCATGTAGAAATGATACTCACACAAATCTTCTGATCCATCAGTACCACGTGCACCATATGTCCTCTCCCTCCTTCCCCTACTCCAGAGCAGACGTGCGTTTCTCCTCTCCATCTGTAGGCCAGCTCTCCTCTCCTCTCTGGCATATCTCTGGCTGTCTGCCCACTCTGATCAGTGCAGCATGAAGGCAGGGTAGCCAGTAGCCACTGGATTTACTGCTATTTATTTGTCTCCCAGCTAGAGTTGACATTTTATTTTTAACCAGTCCCATTGGTTTTTGGCCCCATGTGTGAAGAGTTTATGAAGAAATATTGTGCTATCTTTATTGTATAACATTTTTTATTAGATGGTCTATTTTATTGGCCCGACAGCTGAGTGAACAGACATCTGGAACAAAATAGTACTTTATAGTGTCATTATCATTGATACTTTGCAGTCAGAGCATATGTATACAATAAAATACAGCGCCATATGTTATTGCTATTGTAAAAGCCTTAAATACATTAGCACCACAGAGACCAGAGGTAGTTGAACCAACCACTGGTGCCGTCTGCTCCGGGTCAGTGGGCCCTCTTGGCTGGGCTCATCAGGGCCTGTTGTCTCTATATGTTCTGAAATGGACACACTCTGACAGCTCTCCCTGTGTCTGCAGGAAGTCTGCAGTGAGCTGTGGTGCATGAGCAAGAGCAACCGCTGCATCACCAGCAGCATACCTGCTGCGGAAGGAACCATCTGTCAAACCAATACCATAGAGAAAGGGGTAAGCACTGGAATGTTCCATGATCAGCAGAAATGGGGGGTGTTTGGTTTTTATTTCATTAGTTCCACAGCTTGTGCCTCTCCTGTGTGTGTTACAGTGGTGCTATAAGAGGGTGTGTGTGGCCTACGGGACCCGGCCAGAGGGGGTGGACGGCGGGTGGGGTCTTTGGACCCCCTGGGAGGAGTGCAGCCGTACCTGTGGGGGAGGAGTGTCCTCCTCCATCCGCCACTGTGACAGCCCCAGGTGAGTGATGTGGATCTCAACTCTGTCCATAGGACGGACAATAGTCATTGAATTCACAGCCACTGTAGAACTGTAAAGCCATAGGGTTGAATCTGGCTGGCTCTTCCTAACTTCCAAGCACATCTGTTTGGAAGAGAGACGCCAGTCTACCACCAATCATTTTAACATCTCACAATAATCACCCACGTGCAACAATGACAGCCGTAATAAAGGATATCAACACAGACAGTGGCAAACTGACTTCTCTCTGGTGTTTCTACTGAGGAGTTAGTCTGATTTGACTTGGATAGCTGAGTAATAAAAATACAGACCGAAAAGATTGAAACAGGGTGGTAGAGCCCGGCTAGCCATGCGGGAGGAGAATAGAACCCAGTGTGATTGGGGAGTTATTGTTCAATTGCACTCAGATGTGTTTTGCCTCTGCTTTTCTGGTTCCAGGCCAACGATTGGTGGAAAGTATTGTCTGGGAGAGAGGAAGCGCTTCAGATCGTGCAATATTGATGTGAGTGGGGGAGCAGAGCAGAGTGGAGCAGCAGCTCCCTCTGAGAGGCCTACAGTACCATCACCATACTCATCCTGGCCTGGCCCAACTCTACAGCTCTCAGACTGACCTAATTAACAGCAGCCTGCCCAGCCCAGAACTAATGCCCTCAGTGTGTGTGTGTGTGTGTGTGTGTGTGTCCATGCGTGTGTGTGTTTGGTAGAGTGTAGAGGCTACTATGAGTTCAGTCTTATTTTAAATGACTGCTGGCAGCAAAAGAGACAGGGTAGGGGATACAGTGGGTGTCTGATGTCGAGAGGCCTGTGATTTGACTGACACAGAGCTGATCTGTGCCCCTCTGTGTGTGTCTGTCTCAGGAGTGCCCTGCAGGCTCTCAGGATTTCCGGGAGATTCAGTGCTCCGACTTCGACAACGTTCCTTTCCGGGGGAAATTCTACACCTGGCAACCCTACAGGGGAGGTGTGTACAGTAAGTGTGCGTGTGTGTGTACCCCCTCCCCCCTCCACAGCAGACTGTGATACATCATTACAGAGGTAACTACAGTGTGTCTGCTCGGTTGTCATTTCAGGCTGAAAACGTCTGAAGATAGGGAGAAAGCTGACATACCTGCCTGTGAGTTTACAGAGAAAGAATAGTGCAGCAGCACATAGAGAGAGCTGAGCAGGAGAGTGCTGCCAGACCGTGGGCCCAGAAAAGGAAGAGGGGAGAGCAGAAAAGAAGAGAGAAGTAGGGTAGAGAGAAGAGTAAAGGGGAAAGCTGCAGACAATCTCCTGTCTGGCTAGAATGCCTGTGCTTGATGAGCGCTGCGCTGGACGCGAAAGATAAATACTTTCGACGACATAGCTGCCTTTAATCTACCAGTCCAATAACATAATGGCTTACAGAGGGGCCCTCTCCAACTCCAGGCAACAAGTGCTCCTTTCATCAAGTCAGCTGATTTTACAATGGAAATCCCTTGCAGCTGTTAAAATACGAGCTGTGCCACAGTCTGCCCTGCGTTAGGGCTATATCACACATCCCAGCCCCCTTCTCTCCCCTCACTCACTCACTCACTCACTCACTCACTCACTCACTCACTCACTCACTTCTTCACTCTCCTTCTACATTCCTCCCTCTTTCTCCCTCTCTGTCCTGCTTTCTTTCCCCCTCTCTCTTGCTATTTTCCTCTCTCTCTCTCTCTCTCTCTCTCTCTCTCTCTCTCTCTCTCTCTCTCTCTCTCTCTCTCTCTCTCTCTCTCTCTCTCTCTCTCTCTCTCTCTCTCTCTCTCTCTCTCTCTCTCTCTCTCTCTCTCTCTCTCTCTCTCTCTCTCTGTCCTGTACTCGGACACCTCTAGCAGGCCATCGGGCTCGACTCAGACAGCCAAGGACAGTTCATTCAAAAAAGTTTTAGCAGTCATATACATTTTTTTCTGAGGCATGAGCCATCCACATTGTTGAGCTCGGTCCAACAACTTTTGCAGGAAGCCTTCCTCCAGCAGGCCCACCAAGTCAGTCAGCCCCCGTCCATCCATCCATCATCCCACAGCTTTGTCATCCGCTAGCCTCCCAGGCAGCACATACTGTACCTGTTTCAGCGGTGCCAGCACAAACAGAGCCCAAAGTGATTGCAACAACTTTTCACAGTGGAACTAGCTGGAAATGGGTATACTTGGCTAGTGCACAGCCGTGGCAGTATTAGATGACTTGTCAGCCCATAAAGTGATATGTTAGTGCACAGGCTGCTCTTCCAGCCCGTAGGGGGTAACAGTTTGGGGGGTTGTGGGCTGTGATGCCAGAGAACCCTGGCTAAGAGAGTGGAAAGTCACTCTGCTGCCTGCCTGGTCCTGACTGTCGGCTGGTACCTCTGTGCTCCCTGCCTGGTCCTGACTGTCAGCTGGTACCTCTGTGTTGCCTGCCTGGTCCTGACTGTCAGCTGGTACCTCTGTGTTGCCTGCCTGGTCCTGACTGTCAGCTGGTACCTCTGTGCTGCCTGCCTGGTCCTGAATGTTGCTCGATTAGCACTTATTTCTGCTCTCACATGACCAGAGCCTGGCCAGGTTATAAAGCATGGAAACTGGGTTGACCAAAGGGGGGTGGTGAGTAAAGTGAGACCATGGCTGTGTTGTGTTGTATGTGTGTTGCATTGTGTGTATGTGTTTGTGTTGTGTGTTGGGTCGGCCCATAGAGCAGATGTGCTGGCGTTTCCGTGCTGAGACATTGATTGGCCTTGTCAGCCAGTAAGAGAGCTCAGTGTGGTCGCTGGCATGCTCTGTAATATGGTATAAATGAGAGCACCTGTCAGTGCACAAATACCCCCCCCGCCCCCTCTCCCTTTCCTCTCCCCCTGTCGGTTTTTGTGCAAGTCTGCAGGATTACCACATTCCAGTTTCCCAGGGAATTTGCTGAGAGATGCACTATTTCTGTTAGCGCCCTCTCGTTCTTGTTGTTGTGAGCATTTGACCCCACTGTGCTGTTAGCGGAACCAAAAGCCTCAGAACACACAGCCCCTGATCAGTCCCAGACCTTAGGTGGTAGAGGGGTGACACAGACAAAGAGGGGGCCGAGGGGACAAAAAGGTTATGTGTGTGTGTGGATAGAGGGAGTGAAGGGGGGGACTTAATCACAATCAGCTGCTTGTTCTCTTGATGTTAACAATCCAAACTGTGCTCTCCCCTCTCCAGACCTCCTCCACCTCCCCACTCTCCTCTCTGCCTGCTTGTTCTCTTGATGTTAACAATCCAAACTGTGCTCTCCCCCCTCCAGACCTCCTCCACCTCCCCACTCTCCTCTCTGCCTTTGGCACCCGAGTCCTTACAGCTGTGGGGGAACAAACTAACTGGGTGGAACATAAAACCCATTAAAATACCATGCGTGGTCATCAGACACATTAGAGCAGCCCGTGGTGTTTCTCAGTAATGGAGGGGAACGGCTGGAGTAATTGTATTGTGTCTTCACCCAACAAGAGGCATCAGGCCTCACTGCTGAAAGTGCAAATAAAGAGCGAAGTGGAAGTGATTTTCTTTTCGTGTTTGTGATAACGTTGTGTAATGTTGTAAACCCGACAGAGCAGCACAATATCGCATTGTGTAAATGTTTTTGAGTAATGAAATGGTGTGAAAGCCAGTGTGTGTGCCATATAAAAGGCTGAGTCTGATGTTGTTGTCTCTGCTGGCTGCTGCAGATCCTATAGAGGACCTCCGCAGCTGGCTCTCTGGTCAACTCAATCTAGCTCTTAATCATGCTATGTGTTGTTTACCAAGACACCTAATGAAACGTACAGCTCTTAATAACCTCTGACTTATTTCTGATGGTATTGTCATGTCCTTGCCAAAACACCAGCCGTCTATGGGATCCTATAGATGACCTTCACAGCTGCTCCTCTCGCCACCAGCCTGTACCGTTGATACCAGGCAGGATGGGTCCATGGACTCATGCTGCTTAAGCCAAATCCTGACTCTGCAATCAGTATGACGCAACAGGAACAAGGATTTGTCAGACCAGGCAATGTTCTTCCACTCCTCAATTGTCCAGTGTTGGTGATCGCGTACCCACTGGAGCCACTTCTTCTTTTTAGCTGATAGGAGTGGAACCCTGTGTGGTCGTCTGCTGCAGTAGCCAATCCATGACAAGGATTCGACGAGTTGTGCGTTCCGATATGCCGTTCTGCACACCACTGTTGTACTGCGCCGTTATTTGTCTGTTTGTGGCCCGCCTGTTAGCTTGCACAATTCTTTCCATTCTCCCTCGACCTCGCTCATCAACGAGCTGTTTTAGCCCACAGGACTGCCGCTGACTGAATGTTTTTTTTTTTTTTTCACCATTCTCGGTAAACCATAGACACTGTTATGCGTGAAAAGCCCAGGAGGGCGGCCGTTTCTGAGATACTGGAACTGGCGCGCCTGGCACCGATGATCATACCACACTCAGTCGCTTAGGTCACCCGTTTTGCCCATTCTAACGTTCAATCGAACAGTAACTGAATGCCTTGATGCCTGTCTGCCTGCTTTATATAGCAAGCCACGACCACGTGCCTCACTGTCTGTAGGAGCAATCCATTTTCGTGAACAGGGTGGGATACCTGTCCGGTGAGTGTATATTGTTGTTTACCCAACAGTATCACAACAATTCATGAAAATAACAATGCACAGCTCTTATAAACCTCTGACATGATGGTATTGTCAAGGCAGGGTATTTGTTGTTTACCCAATAGTATTACATGACAGCTTATTTACATTTACATTTTAGTCATTTAGCAGACGCTCTTATCCAGAGCGACTTACAGTTAGTGAATACATATTTTTTTTATACTGGCCCCCCGTGGGAATCGAACCCACAACCCTGGCGTTGCAAACGCCATGCTCTATCAACTGAGCTACATCCCTGCCGGCCATTCCCTCCCCTACCCTGGACGACGCTGGGCCAATTGTGCGCCGCCCATGAGTCTCCCGGTCGCGGCCGGCTGCGACAGAGCCTGGATTCGAACCAGGATCTCTAGTGGCACAGTTAGCACTGCCTTAGACCACTGCGCCACTCAGGAGCAAAACCAACAGTCCTTAGCCTGCGTTTACACAGGCAGCCCAATTATGATATTTTGCCCAATTATTGGTAAAAGAGCTAATCTGATTGGTCAAAAGACCAATTAGTGGAAAATATCAGAATTGGACTGCCTGTGTAAACCCAGCCTTAAAAACTGACATGATGATATTGTCAGGTCCTTGCCAAAACACCTGTGATCTAATCAAGACCTCTAATCAAGACCTCAAGACCACCGAGAGACGTAGGATTGTGGGTAAACCCAACCCAAATGTGTTGCAGAATCTAATCCGGGATCTATTTGTGTTTGTATTGATCTATTGTCTCATGTCCCTCTTCTCTGTGCTGCTCTGTTGTCCAGGTGGAGTGAAGTCCTGCTCACTGAACTGCCTGGCGGAGGGATATAACTTCTACACAGAGCGTGCTCCGGCTGTGGTGGACGGGACCCCATGTCGAGACGACTCTCTGGATGTCTGTGTGAACGGAGAGTGCAAGGTGAGACTGCTCCGTCCTTTCTATCCTTTCCTCTCATTTAACTCTTCTCCTCCTGGTTGTCTTGTTGAATTAGTATTGCCTTTCAGATGGTAGTGCTCACTGCTCACAAAAACAATGCCGATTGTTCCCCCGTCCTGTTGTTTTTGGATGGCTTCAGAGCCTGTCAAGAAGCAGAGTGGCTCTGGAACGGGAGGGGAGGAGGGAAAAACGAAATACTCTCGCTGAATGACACCAAACCACAAAACATCTGAATTGTTGTTTTGTGGTTTTCTGCAGCTATGTGGAGCCGAGCTAGATTTCATTAGGCAGTTGAACGGCCATCCCTCTCTCCTCTCTTGGGCTTTGTTTGGAGCTGTCTCAGGGCCTGGGCACGTGGAGGTGGTGTGAGTGGAATTATCTGGGCTCGTCCAGACTCCGAGCCTGTTTATCAACATCTCGGCTCTGTTCTCCTCTCCTCCTCTGTTCTGTTCTGTGTGTAGCAGGAACTCAGTGACCCTCCAGCTCAGCTGACCCTCCAGCTCAGCTGGCTAAACATATTCACTTCAGCCCCTTCTCCCACTTTCTCTCTGTTTCTTACTCTCTCTCTCTCTGCCTCTCTCTCTGGGTTTTTCCTATTCTGGCATTCTCACTTCTCATCTCTCTCTTTATCTCTTATTTTCTAGCTCTCTCTGTTTCTTTCCCTCTCATACTCTCCTTCTCTCATTATATCTCAGTTTCTATCTCCCAATTTCTTTCCCAATCCTCCCGTCTCCCTCTGATATTTATGGTGCATATAAAAAGGCGAAAACAGTGAGGAGAAAAATGTAAGTATTGTTTGCAGCCTCATGGTGGTTAGGATCCAGAGAGTAAGGGATTGATTTGAAGCGAGCGAGGGAGAGGGAGTGGAGAGAGAGCGGGAGCAGAGAGAGAGATGTGTGTGCTTGGAAACACATGCGCAGGCTGCAGCAGGCTGCCTGGCCTGGGCCAGGCTCACCAGGGGACACGGCCCAGAGCCCAGTCTGAATTGAAGGGCCAGAGCCCAGTTTGAACTGAAGGGCCCAGTCTGAATTGAAGGGCCAGAGCCCAGTCTGAATTGAAGGGCCAGAGCCCAGTTTGAACTGAAGGGCCCAGTCTGAACTGAAGGGCCAGAGCCCAGTCTGAACTGAAGGGCCCAGTCTGAACTGAAGGGCCAGGGCCCAGTTTGAACTGAAGGGCCCAGTCTGAACTGAAGGGCCAGGGCCCAGTCTGGAACAAGTCCTGCCATTACTAAGGGGAAATGGCTTCCACATTGATAGTTAATGGAACCTAGACCTGCCTGGGTCAACAGGGTTTGAAGTGCCCCAGGGTTGCTCCAGCCATCCATTCACATGTTAGAGTTACTGTACAGTGCAATAGTTAATTTAGACCAACATTTGTGTTTACTTTGGCTTGAACCGTCTGTTGGTATTTGGTATTTTTTGTATTTTATTAGGATCCCCATTAGCTGTTGCGGAAGCAGCAGCTTTTCTTCCTGGGGTCCACACAAAACATGAAACATGACATAATACATAACATTAATAGACAAGAACAGCTCAAGGACAAAACTACATCAATTTAAAAAAGGCACACGTAGCCTACATATCAATACATACACACAAACTCTCTAGGTCAAATAGGGGAGTGGCATTGTGCCGTGAGGTGTTGCTTTATCCATTTTTTTAAACCAGGTTTGCTGTTCATTTGAGCAATATGAGATGGAAGGGAGTTCCATGCAGTAATGGCTCTATATAATACTGTACGCTTTCTTGAATTTGTTCTGGATTTAGCGACTGTGAAAAGACCCCTGGTGGCATGTCTGGTGGGGTACGTGTGTGTCACAGCTTAGTACAGGTTGTGTCTTAGGAATGGGTACGTTGTTGACATCCTGTGCTGTCAGTTTATTCATTAGGCACCTGGGAAACGTTTCAATCAGCCTCACTTCTGAAGGACTGTGTGTGTTCTGCTTTCCTCTCTATAGAGGCTAGTGGCTGTGTCTGTGTGCCTCTGCCTGCGCCCTCTGATCTGTGGCTCTTGTCTCCCTGCAGCACGTGGGCTGTGACCGGATCCTGGGCTCGGATGTGCGGGAGGACCGCTGCCGTATCTGCGGGGGTGACGGGAGCAACTGCGCGGCCATCGAGGGCGTCTTCAATGACTCCTTGCCTGAAGGAGGTACAGTTTAGTATACAGAGCAGGAGTCCATTCACCACAATACTGCTAGGAAGGAATCTTAACCCAGTTCTTTGATGCTTACTGCACAATGATGGTCTCTACAGTTAGTTACACTATAAACCCCAGTGTACAGTCTGTGTGGTACAGCAACAGTAGTGGTAGTTCAGTGGCAGGAGGTATCAATAACTGTCTGAGTGGGGTGGGGGGTTGGGGGGCTGAGGAGTGGGGTGGTAGTGGGCCCCTCTCTCAGGCCAGGAAGGCGTGGACAGACAGACACTGGGGGGACTGTTCTGTTCCAAGACTTGGCAACAGGACACGTCTCTCTCTTTAAAAGACCCTGATTGCTGCGTTTCTCTGTCCTCAAACTCTTTGCTCCCTCCAACACCACTTCTAGAACAGGCCAATAACACATACCTCTCAATTAGACTGGGGAATAAAAATGAAAAACACAAATAAAATGTCAAAGAAGAAAGGGCCTGTGTTTTGGACCAGGGAGCTCTTTCAACGTTCTGAGAATGAGATTTAGTTAAGTTCGAGACATCCATCGAGAGAGATTATGCAACCTAATAGTTTTATGGAAATTCAAACAATGTGTGCATGCATTTGGATTCTGACATGAGCTAAATATGTGTTGGACTGCTGCCTTGCAATGTGAGTTAGGGGACCTCAGACATTTTGAAAGTAATGTATAATTATCTGTTCACATGCAAGCTTTCTAGTTGCATGATCTGCAGACTGTACCAGTTAATCATATAGAGTTACTGGTGAATATCTTGCCCTGCCAACTCCCCTCCATCCATCCCTCCCTCCTGTAGGTGCATAATGACCTTTTATTTCGGTACCTATTTCAGTCTAAACACTCTGGCCCTGATTAATGGTTTGTGATTAATTCTGTGGAAACATGTCAGGGGAAAACTGATACAGCCCAGCCAGGCTTACAGATGACGCCAGGCTCAAGAATTAGCCATCACCATCTCCAAGAAAACCAAGCCGTTGTCGAGGGCTTGAGGTAGGCTCAGCCTATAGCTGCTCAGTTCTGATCAGGAGACGCTCCAGAGGTCTCAGTTCCATCATTCCATCATAGTGATGACTGTTGGAAGGTTTGTGGTCCTCTGTCCTATTATAGAGCCATGGGTAACTTCACCCTGCAGGTACATGATACTGCACTAACCCTAATGCCTTCTCAAAACACTCTAATAATATATATATATTTTTTAAGTACGGTCAAACTCCGAATACTTTTCCTTCAGGCTATCACGTGATTATGTGAGCTTTAAAGCATAGTTAAACTCAGAATACTTTAAAGTGTGGTCAAACTCAGAATACCCACTATTGATCAATAATAACCCTGGATCAATTTCCTTAGATCGTCTGAACCAATTTCCTTAGGTTCTACCTACCACCGGCGAGATTCATTATTATAGGAAAATAGTTCTGCCAAATTGAACCCCAAAATGTTGTGGATGAGGAGGACGAGATCTTTCACCACTAAGGCTCGTCTGGAAAACAGACCCTCACAGAGATGATTGAATACGGTCTCTTACCTTATTTTTTTATTGTGGCCAGAGGGATGTCTGAGGCCGAGCGAAACAGATCAAAAAGTCAGGTCGCTCTCATCTGTGTCACAGCACCAAAAATTAGATCCAAAGATTAAGGCAGAGACTATTTAATGATAAAATAGAAACTTTAATACAAGCAGCTGCAGGATGAGATCCACCTCCTGATTTCACAGGGAAGAACTCAAGGAAGAAATGGTTCCATGTCCCTTATATAGTGGGAGGTGATAATACAATCATATTGTTTACACAACAGTTATTTTATACATCAACAGTTCCTGTCACGAACGTCGAAGGAGGAGGACCAAGGCGCAGCGTGGAATGCGAACATATTTATTTAAATAATGATAACACGAACAAAACAAAAAAACAATAACGTGACGTCCTTGGTTACATACACAAACCAACACGGAACAAGAAACCACACCAAATGAATGCCTAACGGCTACCTAAGTATGGCTCCCAATCAGAGACAACGAGCTACAGCCGTCTCTGATTGGGAGCCACCCTGGCCAACATAGATATACAAAACCTAGAAATTAACACCCTGGCTCAACATACGAGAGTCCTCAGAGCCAGGGCGTGACAGTTCCGGAACACAATGGCCTTGTTAGGGTGCAGACATACCAGGAGTCTATGAAAAGCATATCACAGTACAACACAGAACAGATCCCAAATTCTGCCACCACAATATGGAGACCTTGGGCTCTCTTTTTTACGCTGGGGATGAAGGCTGTGGGGAGGGAAGGAGTGTGTGGGGTTTCTCTCGCGTCCATTCGGTGGCACGTGGCAGGCAGTTTTAGGTGTGGGTTGCGGGAGTGCTGCGCCTGCAGAGCCAGACAGGTCTATTTTAGGCCCTCTCCCTCCACGACAGCAGCAACTCTGCCCCCTCCACCCCCTTACCTCCCCATTCTGGAACCCTCAGAGTGGACACACCCTCCTGGTGTGGCCGCAGCTCGGTGGCTGGGACCACACTGGCCGGCTCAGCAACAGCCTTAGCCTGGGCCTACACTCTGGCTCTTGGCTGATTTACGAGCCACAGAGCACTCAGTCATGTCTACCAGGTTTTTTATGTCTCTGAGGTGCAGACCAATCCTCACTCCCAGGAGGGTTTAAATGGGGTTTGTTGTCAGGCGCTAACCAAGCAGTACAGCAGATGGGCTGGTGTTTTGAGTATGTTGTTCTATCTAGAGATTCACACCTAAGAGTGATGATGGTGCCATATTCTCCCGTGCCTCTGCAACCTTACTACTCCCATCTGGTGTCTGCATCTTCACCTGAGTTATCACCTCAGACGCTCTCATCTATCTTTCTAGGTTCTCTCTTTTTCTCCTCTCTGTGTCTGTCTGTCTGCATCCATCCATCCATCCATCCATCCATCCATCCATCCATCCATCCATCCATCCAGGAACTTTGGTTGTGGTGGAGGGTTACTCAGGGGTTGAGGGCCAGGGGTTTATTGCTCTTTGGCTCTCTGTTTACCGCACAGGCCCCTGATTGTTAACAGAAAAACCTCTCCCTCTCCAGCCGCCAGGAACCGCAAGTACAGAGCTGGGTTACTGAAATTACTCACAGCACCGACTGCTGCACCAGAGAGGGGTCAAAAGTCAAGCCTCTCCTTTCCTCAGCGGTCGCACCATTGGAATGGGTTATTAAATTATTTATTCCGTTTTTTTTTATGTGAGACTGAAGTTATTTACAGGGCTGTGGTGGCTGGCTGGACAGCACAGCCTGGCTTCAAACATGGTTATTGAACGGTGCCCAGGAATTTGGTTGGAATCCGAAGTCTCTTTTTATTCCATTGAAGTCCCACAGAGTAAAACACTATTTATACATTATTCTCCCTCCAGTATGTCAGTGAATAAAACCTCCACCTTGCCTTTCTCTTCTTTCTTTGTGTGTGTGTGTGTGTGTGTGTGTGTGTGTGATCCCAGGTTATGAAGAGGTGGTCAGAATCCCCAAAGGATCTACCTTCATTCATATTCAGGAGCTCAACGTCTCCCTCAACTACCTAGGTGAGAGTCTTCTGTGTCACAATATGTTATACTGACATGATGGATTCTGTAGTGTGCATTCAGACTCAAACTGAAATTAAAATGTAAGTGCATTGGCACATCAGTAATGCTGTTATTAGAACTATTATAGCATTTCAAATCACTAACACATTTTTCCTCAGTCATAAGTTTGCAGTCAGACATGCTCTCGTTCCTTCTCTGCTCCAGTGCTGAAGAGTAAAGGGGACCAGTACTTCATCAATGGGAAGCTGACCATCGACACCCCTCGTAGGTTCGACATCGCAGGGACCACCTTCCACTACCGCCGGCCCACTGACCAACCTGAGACCCTGGAGGCCCTGGGGCCCACCAACATGACCCTCATTGTCATGGTAACAGCCTAGCTGTGTGTGTGTTATTGTGTGTGTGTGTAACAGTAATTATTCTATGTAATAACATACGCGTGTATGTGTTTGTGTGTGTGTAGGTGCTGGTGAGGGAGGAGAACCCAGGGATCCACTACCGCTTCAACCCTCCAGTCAACAGAGACCCTCTGAGTGGATACGCCTGGCACTACACATCCTGGTCCCGGTGCTCCGCACTCTGCGCTGGGGGTACCACCACTACTGGCTCTATAACTCTGTACTGTACTCTTCACTGGCTCATTGATTGATGTTATTTGATTTAGAAATGCACACAAAACCTTTTATTCATTCAGTTATATCTCTTAGCCCATATTAATTTAATATTATTGAGGCTAAATATACCATCATGGTCACCTCATGACACACCTGTTGTTTGTTTTACTAATGATCCATTTAGCTGCTGTGCAGGGCTGGGTACTCTATATAGACGGTACATTGACCTCTCTAGTAAACTCACTGACTCACTCATGCACAGTGCATACCCCTCACTTTCTCAACGGCTTTCTCATATTCCCTCACTCACACATATACACACACTGGTACAGAAAAAAACCTCATAGTGCATATCCCCTGGTGGCTCGAGAGTTTTCCTAACGTAACACTGACCCTGGGGAAACATGGGAATGGAATGTTCATGAACAGAGAGGACTGTGGGGTTGGTGAAACTGGTCTGAAGCCAGCTTTGAAGTTACACACACACTCTTTCTTCGGTTTCTTTCTGTTGCGGGTAAATGATCCAAAGTAACTAGCTTGATATAAACTAATTTACTTTGCTTAAAAGCACATTTACTTGACCTTTATGTCAGCAAAACAAATGAAAGGAGAAGTGCTTATACAAGTTCTACACTGTGAAAGGCATTTACATTTGAGTCATTTAGCAGACACTCTTATCCAGTAGAGTGCATACATTTTCATACTTTTGTACTTTTTTCGTACTGGTCCCCTGCGGGACCATGCTCTACTAACTGAGCCACACAGTGTGAGCTGCATCAGATGAATGACCAAAGGAGTTGTGGCTGTTTTTATAATGTGTTTTTCTCTCCCTCTCTCTGTCAGGTGCTCAGATCCAGCAGGTAGTGTGTAAGAAGCAAGCTGATCACTCCGTGGTCTACAACCACTTCTGTGACAAGAAGAGCAAACCCAAAGACAAGAAGCGATCCTGCAACTCTGAGCCATGCTCCCCAAGGTGAGTGTCAATGTATCTGTCTCACTGCGTGTGTGGAGCTCCTCTGATTGGGCCTTTATGACTATATACGCAGAATAAGTGTTTACCTATCATGTGTGAGCGTATGAGATCCTGCTGAACTAAGCCCTGTCTGTCTGTCTGTGTCTCCCCCAGCTGGGGGTCTGGGGAATGGTCTGAGTGCAGTCGTAGCTGTAACGGGGGCCTGAGGACCAGAGAGGTGCTGTGTAAGAGGAAGATCTCTCCTACAGAGGAGAAGGTGCAGGATGACGGGGCCTGTACCCCCCAACGACCCCCCCTCACTGAGCCCTGCAACAACCACACCTGCCCCCCAGAGTGGCTGGCCCTGGACTGGTCAGAGGTACACCCAAAATACCCCCATAAGCCTACCCAACTTTTTTTTAAATCTAACAAACAGAATCTAGAGACTTCAAGAAAAAGAGAGAAGTTGCTTACCTCGACACTTCCTATACCTATGCAACATTTCTGTGTGTAATTAATGCCACCTGCTGGTTGGATTATGTACTGTTCTCTGGTGTGCTCTGGGGCTAAAGAGGTTGGAGCTCTGACTTGAATAACCTCTCCCTCATCTCTCTCTCGCTCTCCCCAGTGTAATCCCAGCTGTGGTCCAGGGTTCAGGCACCGTGTCCTTCTGTGTAAGAGGGGGGAGAGTGGAGACACACTGCCAGAGTCCCAGTGTCCCAAGTATGGGCGTCCCACCACCAGGGTGCGCTGTAACCTGCAGCGCTGCCCACCCCCCATGTGGGTCACAGGGCCCTGGGGAGAGGTAAGGCTGCGGCTAACATGGGCTCTGCTCTGTATTGAACTCTGCTCTCATTCAACTAGACCTCCTACAGGTGTAGGACATTTATTCTGTCTGGTGCTTTAACGTGCGAGCGAGAGAGAAAGAGAACTGTGGGTTTTCAGTGAATTCATGTAAATCACGAGGCTCATTTGAATTTCCTGCGTCACATAAAAATTATCAGCGGCAACAGAGTGATCAAATTTAAGATACCACATACACTATATATACAAATGTATGGGGACACCCCTTAAAATGAGTGGATTTGGCTATTTCAGCCACACCCGTTGCTGACAGGTGTATAAAATCGAGCACACAGCCATAGACAAACATTGGCAGTAGAGTGGCCTTACTGAAGAGCTCAGTGACTTTCAACGTGGCACCGTCATAGGATGCCACCTTTTCAACAAGTCAGTTTGTCAAATTTCTGCCCTGCTAGAGCTGTCCTGGTCAACTGTAAGTGCTGTTATTGTGAAGTGGAAATGTCTAGGAGCAACAACGGCTCAGCCACGAAGTGGTAGGCTACACAAGCTCACAGAATGGGACCGCTGAGTGCTGAAACGTCTGTCCTCAGTAGCAACACTCACTACCAGTTCCAAACTGCCTCTGGAAGCAACATCAGCACAATAACTGTTAGTCGGGAGCTTCATGAAATGGGTTTCCATGGCCGAGCAGCCGCACACAAGCCTAAAATCAACATGCGCAATGCCAAGCGTTGGTTGGAGTGGTGTAAAGCTTGCCGCCATTGGACTCTGGAGCAGTGGAAACGCGTTCTCTAGAGTGATGAATCACACTTCACCATCTGGCAGTCCGACGGATGAATCTGGGTGTGGCGGATGCCAGGAGAATGCTACCAGCCCGAATGCATAGTGCCAACTGTAAAGTTTGGTGGAGGAGGAATAATGGTCTGGGGCTGTTTTTCATGGTTCGGGCTAGGCCCCTTAGTTCCAGTGAAGGGAAATCTTAACGCTACAGCATCCAATGACATTCTATACGATTCTGTGCTTCCAACTTTGTGGCAACAGTTTTGGGAAGGCCCTTTCCTGTTTCAGCATGACAATGCCCCTGTGCACAAAGCGAGGTCCATACAGAAATTGTTTGTCGAGATTGGTGTGGAAGAACTTGACTGGGCTACACAGAGTCTTGACCTCAACCGCATCGAACACCTTTGGGTTGAATTGGAACGCCGACTGCGACCCAGGCTTAATCGCTCAACATCAGTGCCCGACCTCACTAATACTCTTGTGGCTGAATGGAAGCAAGTCCCCGCAGCAATGTTCCAACATCTAGTGGAAAGCCTTGCCAGAAGAGTGGAGGCTGTTCTAGCAGCAAAGGGGGGACCAACTCCATATTAATGCCCATGATTTTGGAATGAGATGTTTGACGAGCAGGTGTCCATTACATTGGTCATGTAGTGTATGCAGGTCCTTGACTGATTTGATGTATTTAAGTGAAGAGGAAATACTAGAAAATGTTAATCGTTCCTGTTCAGATTTGTAAAGTGCTCTATTGTCCGTCTTTACTGTTTCCTCCTAGTTTTGTGACCGGTGTCTCTCTCTCTGTTCTGTGTCAGTGCTCGGCCAAGTGTGGTCTGGGTCAAGAGATGCGCTCTGTGCAGTGTCTTGTACACACCGGCCAGCCGTCCAATGAGTGCCCAGACCTCCAGCGCCCGGCAGCCATGCAGCAGTGCAAGAGCAAATGTGACCTCAGCAGCCTACCCATGGACATCCCTGAGGGTGACCCTGAAGGTCAAAGTTCCACTGTATTAATTACTTTCTCAGTGTATTTTCCTGCTAGCTTAATAACCATTTAAGTTATACAAATGTTTAACCTAATCTTTGTATATACATTCTTCCCTTCCAGAGTGCAAAGATGTGAACACAGTGGCGTACTGCCCCCTGGTGCTCAGGTTTAAGTTCTGCAGCCGCCCCTACTTCAGACAGATGTGCTGTAAGACCTGCCAAGGACACTGACCCCTGATCCAGAGTGAGAACCAGACCCATACTCTGAGCCATCCCCAGCGGGACCAGACCAGACCGCCTGAGCTGAACATTCCACATGGGGGAGGGGCTGACAAGCCAAAGCACCGCAGAGCAGCCTCCCTGACATCAGGGGAGGGTGAGAGAGAGAACTGCTTTTATCCCCAACTCTGAAATTGCCCTAACTGATACCAGCTGTGGGGGCACTGCTGTGAAGACCAGATGGGCTGCTGGGATACCTCTGTTTCTATGTCCTTATATCCTTATTAGTGTTTGGTGCTACTACCATTGCCATGCTGGCCACAGGACTGGCCAAAGTACTCTGTTCAGCTTAGTTACATTTCTCTGTTGTTTATTAATCTTACCCTGAGACACTATGTCCATATGGACCTTTACTTGTATATTTACAGACGTTCTATGTGTACACAATCTACACTGTAGAAATGAAATTGTCCTGATACTTTATCACTTACCCAATGTTAATGTTTGTTATCTGGTGGCTGTGCCAACTCACTTGGTCTTCTATGTTATCTTGTCAATGCTTTCTCTCAGAACTAAATCTTCATGAATTCTTACTAACATTATGCTTTTTGAAAAGGGTTTGATTTGCACAAAGTATGACTAGTCATAAGGATACTGTATGTTTAGTTATTTGGGACTTGTCTTGACGACTCTACTTAACACTAAGGTTCTCTGTCCACAGTCCGGTCTATGCTCATAACCGTTTACGCACTACTGTCTTGTCATTTTACGGGACCCTGCAAGGGCTGGTCAATAGTCGGTTCAGTTCACGTCTAGCAGCTAACCTCAACACTTCTCTCATACTGTAGCACTTACTGTACACATTTAGAGACAGGCAAACCTACCATAGCCTCATCAATGTGAACAATGCTACATGGTTCTCTCTACTACTCACGTATACAGTGAGTGGAAACAGTGTCCATCACTGAGTGAACCACTTCCAACCTCCGATTAGAGGGGAACAGAGACCCTCACATGTCCTCTGGCCTTGAGTAGTCCTTCTGTCTGATAGCGTTGCCTTCCTACTGCGCCTTTAATGGTAAACCAGTTAACTTCGGTTTTTAATATGCTGCATGTACAGTGAATGCTTTACACATCCATCCTTCTACTGAGCTCATACCCAGAACCAGCTCTTGCAATATGTCCGCTATGATTTCTATTTGAGTAACTAGGTTGTTATTACTCTCCTGATGGTGCTTTGGAATGGTGCTGTTTCTTAGCTAATTATTGTCGTTGTTTGTTGTCATTCTGTTGAATATAAAGTGGTTTTTGTTGAGGTTGGTGCTAAAGTCATAGTGCTATATCAGTTTGTGAGAAGAGAAGGAGAAGTTAATCCTTTATTTCATCACCTATAGTAACTCAATATGGGCCAGGCCCATATGTTACCTAACATTCAGTCTCTTATACAAGTGGGTGTCAGCACACTGACTGATACTTTTTACTATCTCACAAAAACCATAACAGAACTGTTTTAATAAAACACACTGTCTTATTTGACTGTCTAAATATGTAAGCTAAGTACATTTTGTTTTCTATTTTGAACCATCTGTGTCTATGGTCATGGTGTGACCTCGGAGGCAAACAATTTTATCAAATGTTAGGGACAATATTGTTTGTTGTTTTCAGATGCTTATTGTTACAGATATTTACTTTAATTACTACAGAAACATGCCCCCGTTCCCCATGTACAACCATTGAAATGAACATATTAAAGTGAATAAATATGGCGCATTGTTAATAAATGCATTGAGCATTGTGTGCTTTACCCTCTCTCCCTCTGGAGACCCCTGGCCCAGACAGAAAGCTAGATCATCAAATGATCATCCATCTGTTTCTGTATCTGTATCGCATAGATGTCATGGAAAATAATGCGCAAGACTTGTAGCTATTGTTTCCTTAGTGAGGTTGTTATGTGATGTCTGCTTTAGGCTCTTCCTGATTGGAGGAAATCTGCTGACGGTTATTGAGGCCTGGCGTGAGTCATTCTCACCACTGACATGTTACGTTTCAGGCCCTGCATCATAGCAGAGTTTAACTTGGGGCCTTTCTGGGTATGCTGGTGTTCACCCAGATTGAGGATGCTATTGAAGACTTGGAGCCCCACATCTCTCAGCAGTATACGCTATACTCATGATTACACTGTGCTGGTCCGAGGCCCACTGCACTTACAGTAACACTGTGAATCTCTACTTGTCAGTGAAGAGCCTTTGCATAGTTTTATTTAACCTTTATTTTATCAAGGAATCATACTGAGACCAAGGTCACTTTTACAGATGAGCCCTGAAATACATAAATTACAGAAAATACGCACATCAAAATATAAATACAAAACGCAAGCAGAAAGAAAATCAGTCATGAAAAACAAACACAATCGTAATAAGGTCCTCAATCAGCTTTCTGAATTGGCTTAGAGGCACCAAATGTAAGAACATTTTGAAGATTGTTCCACAAATAAGGTGCAAGAAAACTAAAAGCTGATTTACCTAACTCAGGAGAGACCAAAGGAATTTCCAGAGTTAGGCATCCCTGAGACCGGGTGTGGTAACGCGTATGTCTAAAGTTTAGTAAAGATGTTAGGTACGGTGGGACTTTTTTAAAAAGGGCTTTATAAATGAAAACCTATAACTGAATATGTGTCAACCTACGTAACATCAAAGAGGGCCAACCAACTTTCTGGTAGAGAATGCAGTGTTGAGAACTAAAATTGTCGGCCATAATAAAGCGCAATGAAGACGCAGCTGCGTTCATGTAGATGATATCCCCATAGACTAAGACCGATAGGAACGTCGACTGAATAATCTGCTTTCTACTATTTAGCGAGAGGCAGGACCTACACTACATGACAAAAGTATGCGGACACCTGTTTGTCGGAAATTCCACCTTTGCTGCTGTAACAGCCTCCACTCTTCTGGGAAGGCTTTCCACTAGATGTTGGAACATTGCTGCGGGGACTTGCTTCCATTCAGCCACAAGAGCATTAGTGAGGTCGGGCCCTGATGTTGGGCGATTAGGCCTGGCTCGCAGTCAGCGTTCCAATTCATCCCAAAGGTGTTCGATGGGGTTGAGGTCAGGGCTCTGTGCATGCCAGTCAAGTTCTTCCACAACGATCTCGACAAACCATTTCTGTATGGACCTCGCTTTGTACATGGGGCATTGTCATGCTGAAACAGGAAAGGGCCTTCCCCAAACTGTTGCCACAAACTTGGAAGCCCGAACCATGAAAAATAGCCCCAGACTATTATTCCTCCTCCACCAAACTTTACAGTTGACACCATACATTGGGGCAGATTCGTCCGTCGGACTGCCAGATGGTGAAGCGTGATTCATCACTCGAGAGAACGCGTTTCCACCGCTCCAGAGTCCAGTGGCGGCAAGCTTTACACCACTCCAACCGACGTTTGGCATTGCACATGGTGATCTTAGGCTTGTGTGTGCTGCTCGGCCATGGAAACCCATTTAATGAAGCTCCCAACGAACAGTTATTGTGCTGATGTTGCTTCCATAGGCAGTTTGGAACTCGGTAGTGAGTGTTGCAACCGAAGACAGACGGTTTCTACGCGCTACGCGTTTCAGCACTCGGTGTTCCTGTTCTGTGTGCCGTACCACTTCGCGTTGTTGCTCCTAGAAGTTTACACTTTACAATAACAGCACTTACAATTGACTAGGGCAGCTATTGCAGGGCAGAAATTTGACCAACTGACTTGTTGGAAAGGTGGCATCCTATGACGTGGCACGTTGAAAAGCCATTCTACTGCCAATGTATGTCTATGGAGATTGCATGGCTGTGTGCTCAATTTTATACACCTGTCAGCAACAGGTGTGACTGAAATAGCCGAATCCACACATTTTGGAAGGGGTATCCACATATTTTTGTATATATAGTGTATTTCTAAAGAAGAAGACCTTTTTTATTCTCAGCTTCTTAACTCATCAATATGCTTTTTAAAAGACCGCTTTTCATCTATCCAGATGCCCAGATATTTGTAAGCAGTGACACGATCAATATGGACACCATAAAATATATTTTTATGCGTGCTAGAGAACAACATACAGTACCAGTCAAAAGTGTTTTATTTTTTTATTTTTTTTATTTTTATTTTTATTTTTTTTTTTCGGGGGGAATGGATCAGCTTAATATTGCAGATAGATTGTATCTTCTATCAATGTAATTGTCTGCATCACTTCCAATCCCCCATGTTTTATTTTATTTTTTATATATATATTCCCCTTTATTACTTTTCAACCCCACCATCCTTTCCCTACTTGGAGTAAATTAGTGAACAACAATGCCCAGGCCTCTACTTCCGGTCTATACTTACTATCTACACCTTATGGACAGAGTTAATTTTACAATAATTATATATATATATATATATATATATATATATATATATATATATATATTTTTTTTTTTGCTCCTGAACTTCTTCTACTCTCAACCTCTCCGATCATTTTCATGATGTCCATCCGGTTTGCTTCTAAATGCCATATCTTTCTAACTGTGCTCTTTCCCAAAAGCTCCCAACATACAACCTATATACTTATTATGGACACAGTATGCTTACATTATTAGCTATCTTTGTTATTATTTGTTGTTATTTGTTATTAGTCCCATCCTTCAACTCTATTCATTACCTCCCATCTATCTCTTAACACCATCCATATAGGATTTCTATTTGCCATATATATTTCAACTGTACTGTGATGTTTTACAAAAGTTCTGAACCTTTCTATTCTCATTGCTTCTACAGATTGTGAATTAAAAATAAACATTTTTGCTAAAAGTATTATTATATTATTGATTGATTGACTATGACTTTTCAGATCACCCAGTAATGCTATCTGCAAGGTTAGTTCCAGGTAAATATTGCAATCCTTTAGCCATTCCTGGACCTGTGTCCAAAAACAAGCTACAAATGGACAGAACCAAAACAAATGATCTAATGATTCTGTCTCTTCACAGCAAAATCTGC